TGTTTGCACAAAGTCACATAGTCACTTTAAGATGTTTTATTGTTCATGTTTTTGTTTGTTGCGGTTGCACCCGATTCAAGAGCCGAATGGCTCACAGGGCTATACCAAATAAATGAAACATTGAAACTGTACCCTACGTTTGCTTGCGCACCATGTTTGAGACGAGCTCTTTTCTTGGAGTTCACGGGGGTTCGTTGCCCCGACGGCCCGGCGACGTCGAAGCGACGCGCGAGCACCACGAGCCACCAGACACTCATCACGCGGCGCTGGAGAACGCGGTCACCGGCATTGCTATTATGCCGATATTATTATCATTAACCAGGACTCGCCACGGCGATGCGTGAGCGCCTGGACGAGTAGACGTGGAGTGGATCTGGCAGCTGAGTCTGGAGTGAGATACGAACAGTGCACGCCAGGTGGAGTGGATCTGGCAGCTGAGTGTGGAGTGAGACACGAACAGTTCACTCCAGGTGGAGTGGATCTGGCAGCTGAGTGTGGAGTGAGATACGGACAGTTCACTCCAGGTGGAGTGGATCAGGCAGCTGAGTGTGGAGTGAGATACGAACAGTTCACTCCAGGTGGAGTGGATCTGGCAGCTGAGTCTGGAGTGAGATACGAACAGTTCACTCCAGGTGGAGTGGATCTGGCAGCTGAGTCTGGAGTGAGATACGAACAGTTCACTCCAGGTGGAGTGGATCAGGCAGCTGAGTGTGGAGTGAGACACGAACAGTTCACTCCAGGTGGAGTGGATCTGGCAGCTGAGTGTGGAGTGAGATTCGAACAGTTCACTCCAGGTGGAGTGGATCTGGCAGCTGAGTGTGGAGTGAGATACGAACAGCGCACTCCAGGTGGAGTGGATCTGGCAGCTGAGTCTGGAGTGAGATACGAACAGTTCACTCCAGGTGGAGTGGATCTGGCAACTGAGTCTGGAATGAGATACGGACAGTTCACTCCAGGTGGAGTGGATCAGGCAGCTGAGTCTGCAGTGAGATACGAACAGTTCACTCCAGGTGGAGTGGATCTGGCAGCTGAGTGTGGAGTGAGATATGAACAGTTCACTCCAGGTGGAGTGGATCTGGCAACTGAGTCTGGAATGAGATACGGACAGTTCACTCCAGGTGGAGTGGATCAGGCAGCTGAGTCTGCAGTGAGATACGAACAGTTCACTCCAGGTGGAGTGGATCTGGCAGCTGAGTGTGGAGTGAGATATGAACAGTTCACGCCAGGTGGAGTGGATCTGGCAGCTGAGTCTGCAGTGAGATCTGCAGCCAGAGAGGAGGAATCCCCGAACCCCGCGGGAACCCGGTCCGGGGAAGCCGCGCGGCGCACGACGCTGCAGCTGCTGCTGGTTCTGGGCACAGAGAATTGACGCGAAATCGGTTCCCTGTGACCTCACTGAAGGCGGCTCTGAGCCACATTCACTAAAAACAGTTGAAGCGTTTTATGGATAAGAGATGGAAACAAACTTCATCAGTACATTCACGATTACATCATCAGTATGTAACATATAGATGCAATGTAAAGTCAAAGTGATTCCCTGCTCAAATGACCTTTGGCTGCCCATCTCAAATGTACAGACAGCCCTGAAGTCAGTCGTGACAATTCCACATTGCAATGGCGGGGGCTATCCTTTCACAGGGAAAGCACAAATGTTGACTTCCCCCACACTGTGGAACTCATTTTATCAACCATGTAGGGCACGATGATCAGCGGTCAGCGCGCTGCGCTACGAACCTGGCCACCCGAGTTCGGATTCCCGCTCACGGCCAACACCGGTGGCGATTATTTGATTCGGTCATGGGCCTCCCCTAGGTCGACTCAACCTCAAATTAGTACCTGGTGCGATGTATAAACATCAGCCAGAGGACGGTCAAAGCGCACCCACACTCGCCTCTTGTTGTAGCAACTGCTGCCTGGAAACGGTGGCGCAAAACCTGCCCTTAGCGACCGCCATGGGGTAAGCCTCGCCGGGTGAAGCTCGCATGCCCGTAGATTCTGTGTGTGTGTGGAGAATCTTGAAGCTCGTCTCCCTGTCTGTCATTGAATAGCGAATCGTATTGGGAGAGATCGCACGACTCCTCTCTGTCTATGTGTGTGAATTTCTCGGTGTGTGTGTGTGAATGTCTCGGTGTGTGTGTGAATGTCTTGGTGTGTGTGAATGTCACGGTGTGTGTGAATGTCTTGGTGTGTGTGAATGTCACGGTGTGTGTGTGTGTGTGAATGTCTTGGTGTGTGTGTGAATGTCACCGTGTGTGTGTGAATGTTTCGGTGTGTGTGAATGTCTTGGTGTGTGTGTGTGAATGTCACGGTGTGTGTGTGTGAATGTCACGGTGTGTGTGTGAATGTCTCGGTGTGTGTGTGTGAATGTCTTGGTGTGTGTGTGAATGTCACGGTGTGTGTGTGTGTGTGAATGTCACGGTGTGTGTGTGTGTGAATGTCACCGTGTGTGTGTGAATGTTTCGGTGTGTGTGAATGTCACGATGTGTGTGTGTGCGAATGTCACGGTGTGTGTGTGAATGTCTTGGTGTGTGTGTGTGAATGTCACGGTGTGTGTGTGAATATCTCTGTGTGTGTGAATATCTCGGTATGTGTGTGTGTGAATGTCACGGTGTGTGTGTGGTAATGTTACGGTGTGTGTGTGTGAATGTCACGGTGTGTGTGAATGTCACGGTGTGTGTGAATTTCTCGGTGTGTCTGTGTGAATGTCACGGTGTGTGTGTGAATGTCTCGGTGTGTGTGTGTGAATGTCTTGGTGTGTGTGTGTGTGAATGTCACGGTGTGTGTGTGTGAATGTCTTGGTGTGTGTGTGTGTGTGAATGTCACGGTGTGTGTGTGAATATCTGTGTGTGTGTGAATATCTCGGTATGTGTGTGTGAATGTCACGGTGTGTGTGTGTTAATGTTACGGTGTGTGTGTGTGTGTGTGAATTTCTCGGTGTGTGTGAATGTCTTGGTGTGTGTGTGTGAATGGCAAGGTGTGTGTGTGTGTGAATGTCTTGGTGTGTGCGTGTGTGTGCATGTCACGGTGTGTGTGTGTGAATGTCACGGTGTGTGTGTGAATGACTCGGTGTGTGTGTGTGAATGTCTCGGTGTGTGTGTGAATATCTCAGTGTGTTTGTGTGTGAATGTCACGGTGTGTGTTAATGTTTTGGTGTGTGTGTGTGTGAATGTCACGGTGTGTGAATGTCAGGGTGTGTGTTAATGTTACAGTGTGTGTTAATGTTACGGTGTGTGTGTGAATGTCACGGTGTGTGTGAATGTCTTTGTGTGTGTGTGAATGTCACCGTGTGTGTGTGTGAATATCACGGTGTGTGTGTGTGAATGTCTCGGTGTGTGTGGGAATGTCACGGTGTGTGTGAATGTCACGGTGTGTGTGTGTGAATGTCACGGTGTGTGTGTGAATGTCACGGTGTGTGTGAATGTCTTTGTGTGTGTGTGAATGTCACCGTGTGTGTGTGTGAATGTCACCGTGTGTGTGTGTGAATGTCACGGTGTGTGTGTGAATGTCTCGGTGTGTGTGTGTGAATGTCACGGTGTGTGTGAATGTCTTTGTGTGTGTGTGAATGTCACCGTGTGTGTGTGTGAATGTCACCGTGTGTGTGTGTGAATGTCACGGTGTGTGTGTGAATGTCTCGGTGTGTCTGTGTGAATGTCTCGGTGTGTGTGTGTGTGAATGTCACGGTGTGTGTGTGAATATCTCGGTGTGTGTGTGAATGTCACGGTGTGTGTGTGTGTGAATGTCTTGGTGTGTGTGTGTGTGCATGTCACGGTGTGTGTGTGTGTGAATGTCACGGTGTGTGTTAATGTTATGGTGTGTGTGTGTGAATGTCACGGTGTGTGTGAATGTCACGGTGTGTGTGTGAATGTCACCGTGTGTGTGTGTGTGTGTGAATGTCACGGTGTGTGTGTGAATGTCACGGTGTGTGTGTGTGAATATCTCGGTGTGTGTGTGAATGTCACGGTGTGTGTGTGAATGTCTCGGTGTGTGTGTGTGAATGCCACAGTGTGTGTGTGTGTGTGAATGTCACAGTGTGTGTGTGAATGTCACGGTGTGTGTGAATGTCACGGTGTGTGTGAATGTATTTGTGTGTGTGTGAATGTCACGGTGTGTGTGTGAATGTCACGGTGTGTGTGAATATCTCGGTGTGTGTGTGTGAATGTCACGGTGTGTGTGTGAATGTCTCGGTGTGTATGTGGGAATGTCACGGTGTGTGTGATTGTCACGGTGTGTGTGTGAATGTCACGGTGTGTGTGTGTGTGAATGTCTCGGTGTGTCTGTGTGAATGTCTCGGTGTGTGTGTGTGAATGTCTCGGTGTGTGTGTGAATGTCACGGTGTGTGTGTGTGTGAATGTCACGGTGTGTGTGTGTGAATGTCTCGGTGTGTCTGTGTGAATGTCACCGTGTGTGTGTGTGTGAATGTCTCGGTGTGTGTGTGAATGTCACGGTGTGTGTGTGTGAATGTCACGGTGTGTGTGTGAATGTCTTGGTGTGCGTGTGTGAATGTCTTGGTGTGTGTGCGTGAATGTCACGGTGTGTGTGTGAATGTCACGGTGTGTGTGTGAATGTCTTGGTGTGTTTGTGAATGTCACGGTGTGTCTGTATGAATGACTCGGTGTGTGTGTGTGAATATCTCGGTGTGTGTGTGTGTGTGCGAATGTCACGGTGTGTGTGTGAATGTCACGGTGTGTCTGTGTGAATGACTCGGTGTGTGTGTGTGAATATCTCGGTGTGTGTGTGTGAATGTCACGGTGTGTGTGTGTGTGAATGTCACGGTGTGTGTGTGTGAATTTATCGGTGTGTGTGTGAATTTATCGCTGTGTGTGCGTGTGAATGTCTCGTTGTGTGTGTGAATGTCACGGTGTGTGTGTGTGAACCGCACTCATGCATTCCAGCTTCCACTTTGAGGACTCTGTTTACAGGACTGACTGTATGTACGTTGAACCTCTTTCGCACCGTACGTAGCCGACCGTGCTAATCGGAGGTGCGAACTGTTTCGTCTCATCCACCACGCTGTGTTCAACCACCACCACCACCACACTTCAGGTCAATTCACTGCACTCATTCAAGCACTCAGTCACTGCACTGCAGGTCACAAAATCCTCTCTTTGATCCTTCTGCCCTTTCCCTGCTCCACTTTGGAATTTCTTCCTCCTCCTCTCCCCACCATCGTCTCCCCCCCTCACCATCTCTTATAATAACCTTACTTAATTCAAGACACCTCTCAACGCTTATCCATTATAACCTTGATAGTGCTGTTTGTTTCTGGCCGCTTGGCGTTTCGGACCTTTGGGTCACTGTGTTCGTCAAGTGTGGTTTTCTTTCTTTCTCAAAGTGAGCTCCAGCCGTTGTCAGAGATGGCCGCGCCAACGCCACGTTTGGACCCTGGTCTCGCACACGGAAAGGTGAGTGAACTCACCAACGCGATAAGTGAGTGCGGGTTGGTGAGCCAGCGTCGGGGAGCGGTTCGTGTCTTTGTAGGGGAGTGGTTAGTGTCTTTGTAGGGGAGTGGTTAGTGTCTTTGTAGGGGAGTGGTTAGTGTCTTTGTAGGGGAGTGGTTAGTGTCTTTGTAGGGGAGTGGTTAGTGTCTTTGTAGGGGAGTGGTTCGTGTCTTTGTAGGGGAGTGGTTAGTGTCTTTGTAGGGGAGTGGTTAGTGTCTTTGTAGGGGAGTGGTTAGTGTCTTTGTAGGGGAGTGGTTAGTGTCTTTGTAGGGGAGTGGTTAGTGTCTTTGTAGGGGAGTGGTTAGTGTCTTTGTAGGGGAGTGGTTAGTGTCTTTGTAGGGGAGTGGTTCGTGTCTTTGTAGGGGAGCGGTTCGTGTCTTTGTAGGGGAGTGGTTCGTGTCTTTGTAGGGGAGCGGTTAGTGTCTTTGTAGGGGAGTGATTAGTGTCTTTTTAGGGGAGTGGTTAGTGTCTTTGTAGGGGAGTGTTTAGTGTCTTTGTAGGGGAGTGGTTCGTGTCTTTGTAGGGGAGTGGTTAGTGTCTTTGTAGGGGAGCGGTTAGTGTCTTTGTAGGGGAGCGGTTCGTGTCTTTGTAGGGGAGTGGTTAGTGTCTTTGTAGGGGAGTGGTTAGTGTCTTTGTAGGGGAGTGGCTAGTGTCTTTGTAGGGGAGTGGTTCGTGTCTTTGTAGGGGAGTGGTTAGTGTCTTTGTAGGGGAGTGGTTAGTGTCTTTGTAGGGGAGTTGTTAGTGTCTTTGTAGGGGAGCGGTTCATGTCTTTGTAGGGGAGTGGTTAGTGTCTTTGTAGGGGAGTGGTTCGTGTCTTTGTAGGGGAGCAGTTCGTGTCTTTGTAGGGGAGCGGTTAGAGTCTTTGTAGGGGAGTGGTTAGTGTCTTTGTAGGGGAGTGGTGTCTTTGTAGGGAAGCGGTTCATGTCTTTGTAGGGGAGCGGTTAGTGTCTTTGTGGGGGAGCGGTTAGTGTCTTTGTAGGGGAGCGGTTAGTGTCTTTGTAGGGGAGCGATTCATGTCTTTGTAGGGGAGCGGTTAGTGTCTTTGTAGGGGAGTGGTTCGTGTCTTTGTAGGGGAGTGGTTCGTGTCTTTGTAGGGGAGCGGTTAGTGTCTTTGTGGGGGAGTGGTTAGTGTCTTTGTAGGGGAGTGGTTAGTGTCTTTGTAGGGGAGTGGTTCGTGTCTTTGTAGGGGAGCGGTTCGTGTCTTTGTAGGGGAGTGGTTAGTGTCTTTGTAGGGGAGTGGTTCGTGTCTTTGTAGGGGAGTGGTTAGTGTCTTTGTAGGGGAGCGGTTAGTGTCTTTGTAGGGGAGTGGTTAGTGTCTTTGTGGGGGAGTGGTTAGTGTCTTTGTAGGGGAGCGGTTAGTGTCTTTGTAGGGGAGTGGTTAGTGTCTTTGTAGGGGAGCGGTTAGTGTATTTGTAGGGGAGTGGTTAGTGTCTTTGTAGGGGAGTGGTTCGTGTCTTTGTAGGGGAGTGGTTCGTGTCTTTGTCTTTGTAGGGGAGTGGTTAGTGTCTTTGTAGGGGAGCGGTTCGTGTCTTTGTAGGGGAGTGGTTCGTGTCTTTGTAGGGGAGTGGTTCGTGTCTTTGTCTTTGTAGGGGAGTGGTTAGTGTCTTTGTAGGGGAGCGGTTCGTGTCTTTGTAGGGGAGTGGTTAGTGTTTTTGTAGGGGAGCGGTTCGTGTCTTTGTAGGGGAGTGGTTCGTGTCTTTGTCTTTGTAGGGGAGTGGTTAGTGTCTTTGTAGGGGAGCGGTTCGTGTCTTTGTAGGGGAGTGGTTAATGTCTTTGTAGGGGAGCGGTTCGTGTCATTGTAGGGGAGTGGTTCGTGTCTTTGTCTTTGTAGGGGAGTGGTTATTGTCTTTGTAGGGGAGCGGTTAGTGTCTTTGTAGGGGAGCGGTTAGTGTCTTTGTAGGGGAGCAGTTAGTGTCTTTGTAGGGGAGCGGTTCGTGTCTTTGTATGGGAGTGGTTAGTGTCTTTGTAGGGGAGTGGTTAGTGTCTTTGTAGGGGAGCGGTTAATGTCTTTGTAGGAGAGCGGTTAGTGTCTTTGTAGGGGAGCGGTTAGTGTCTTTGTAGGGGAGTGGTTAGTGTCTTTGTAGGGGAGCGGTTAGTGTCTTTGTAGGGGAGTGGTTAGTGTCTTTGTAGGGGAGCGGTTAATGTCTTTGTAGGAGAGCGGTTAGTGTCTTTGTAGGGGAGTGGTTCGTGTCTTTGTAGGGGAGTGGTTAGTGTCTTTGTAGGGGAGTGGTTAGTGTCTTTGTAGGGGAGTGGTTAGTGTCTTTGTAGGGGAGTGGTTAGTGTCTTTGTAGGGGAGCGGTTAATGTCTTTGTAGGAGAGCGGTTAGTGTCTTTGTAGGGGAGCGGTTAGTGTCTTTGTAGGGGAGTGGTTAGTGTCTTTGTAGGGGAGCGGTTAGTGTCTTTGTAGGGGAGTGGTTCGTGTCTTGTAGGGGAGTGGTTAGTGTCTTTCTAGGGGAGTGGTTAGTGTCTTTGTAGGGGAGTGGTTCGTGTCTTGTAGGGGAGTGGTTAGTGTCTTTCTAGGGGAGTGGTTAGTGTCTTTGTAGGGGAGTGGTTAGTGTCTTTGTAGGGGAGTGGTTAGTGTCTTTGTAGGGGAGCGGTTAATGTCTTTGTAGGAGAGCGGTTAGTGTCTTTGTAGGGGAGCGGTTAGTGTCTTTGTAGGGGAGTGGTTAGTGTCTTTGTAGGGGAGCGGTTAGTGTCTTTGTAGGGGAGTGGTTCGTGTCTTGTAGGGGAGTGGTTAGTGTCTTTCTAGGGGAGTGGTTAGTGTCTTTGTAGGGGAGTGGTTCGTGTCTTGTAGGGGAGTGGTTAGTGTCTTTCTAGGGGAGTGGTTAGTGTCTTTGTCTTTGTAGCGGAGCGCTACGAACCCAGCAACCCGCTCATAGTCACCAACATTTATACGAACCAATTGTGGGCCTCCACTAGGTCTTCTCAGCCTAAACTTTTTTTTACCAGGTAAGGCCCCACTGAGCTATGTAGCTCTGTTTCAGAAGCGACCTGGCCACAAATGATAACTGAACCAAGTGGCTTATCACGTGGAAATGTATCGTAGCAAAATACTCTCCAGGTTTCTAAATGTGGAGGGAAATATCGGAGGACCCGGAGAAAAATCCACGCGACCACGGGGAGACAGACACGCAAATTCCAATTATACAGGCATGGGGATCAAACCCGCGACCACCTGTATACCTAGCGAAGTCGTTAGCATCTCGCTACCGTAGCGCCTCAAATGAGTACCTGGTGCGATGTGTAATCATAGGTACTCGGGAGACAAAGGCAGCCGGGCGTGGTGCTGCTGGCCACCCACCCCCTCCGTGTGCCTGGGCTCCATAGGTCGCTGTCTAACAGCACCTTCCCCAAAAGTCTGTTAAGGCTACACTCAGGGGATCTTTGTCTTCGGTGTGCCTGCATGTGAGCGTCATGGCAGCCAGTGCACGAGTGCTGTTGTGTGCGTTCAACCTGTGAGCTCTGGAGGATCCTGAATAATAATTTCCACTTGTAACTCGGCGCCGCCACACAGCATTGGCTCGCTCTCGTAGCGGACGACTCGGAGACGAGAGGAGGAACCACAGCCAAACGGGAAGGCAGGAGCCACGCGGTGAGCCTGCACCAACAATTGCCCATGCTCTAGGGTCCTCTACATGACGGTGCTTTAAGCCAATTCATGAGCCGTTTGCATGTCTGGGGAAACCGGAGCACCCGGTGCAAATCCCAGCGTGTGTGAAGGAGAAACGCTCTATCCCGTATGTAGTGTTTTTATTTCACGCGGACAACTTTTTATTGACCAGAACGCCTCGCGTTCAACACCCCGCAATCCCGTCGCAACTCTCGCTTGGGCTGCTCGCCTGCTTCGCTCCGTTCGCTTCACTCGCTCCGCTCTCTCTCTCACTCAGCCTCTCCACTGCTAGCCTGTTCTCTCACTCAGCCTCTCCACTGCTAGCCTGTTCTCTCTCTCACTCTCCTAGCTTCTCCACTGCTAGCCTGTTCTCTCACTCTCCTAGCCTCTCCACTGCTAGCCTGTTCTCTCTCTCACTCTCCTAGCCTCTCCACTGCTAGCCTGTTCTCTCTCTCACTCTCCTAGCCTCTCCACTGCTAGCCTGTTCTCTCTCTCACTCTCCTAGCCTCTCCACTGCTAGCCTGTTCTCTCTCTCACTCTCCTAGCCTCTCTACTGCTAGCCTGTTCTCTCTCTCACTCTCCTAGCCTCTCCACTGCTAGCCTGTTCTCTCTCTCTCACTCTCCTAGGCTCTCCACTGCCAGCCTGCCTGCCTATCACTACACCCTCCAGTCACTTCCCACCATACACTCTGCTAGCTTCTCCACTGCTAGCCTCTCACTGTACACTCTGCTAGCTTCTCCACTGCTAGCCTCTCACTGTACACTCTGCTAGCTTCTCTACTGCTAGCCTGTCACTATACACTCTGCTAGCCTCTCACTATACACTCTGCTAGCTTCTCCACTGCTAGCCTTCCGCTATATACTCTGCTAGCTTCTCCACTGCTAGCCTCTCACTGTACACTCTGCTAGCTTCTCCACTGCTAGCCTCTCACTGTACACTCTGCTAGCTTCTCTACTGCTAGCCAGTCACTATATACTCTGCTAGCTTCTCCACTGCTAGCCTTCTCACACTCACTTAGGATCCCGCTAGCTTCTCTACTAGTAGCTTCGCACGCTCACACTTAGGATTCTGCTAGCTTATCTTGTCTTTCCTCTTGTCTTCACTCCGACCAACTCCCCTTTGTCTCTCCCACGCTCCCGTATTTATCCCCCTCCTTATTAACTCACCATTAATTAAGCTGGCGAACTCCCGTCGCTTCACGCCCCTGCTTCTGCAGCTATCGCTTCAATCTCCCGTCAGCCTGGCGCCTCTTCCGCGCCTGCATTTGCAGCCAGCCCAATCACCGCTATGCATCTTAATTAGCCATCTCCTTTCCATTGCTCTCTCTGGCCGCACCGGTTCGCCCCGATGTGACCTCACTGTCCGTAACTCGCACATGCGTGTACACCGCTGCAAATCCCCACGCGCGTTACTCCACTACACGTATAGATGGAACAGGTGGGAGTTCACATTTTTGCTGTGCTGTGCTGCTTTCTCCTGGTAAGCCAGGGTATGGTAACCTCCTGACGCCCACGGGACGGGTGTTTCACATCATCTGTGTGATCCACCAACCCTAAGCCGCCTCGACAGTGCCGGATTACAGGCTGCCGCATGCATAGCCACCACCGCCCGCAGTGCACGTGTGAATGTCTACCACACGTGCACTGCACGAGACTTGGCCTCCTGTACGTATGTGGTGGGTCAGTTAGGAGACAGGACACTCCTCCACAATCCCAGCTGCTCCATTCAGGTAGCAGTTGGTATCTAAGGCTAACACAGATTCCTCTTCAGGAAGGTCCTGCTTAATTTCACAGTTGGTGGGGGATGTTGACTAATTTGCGAATAAAGTAACAGCTCGATTTATGTCTTCCCCTTTTACGTCGTTTTGCAAATACGTCGTCACTTTATCAACACCGCTACTACCTGATCTGCGTCGCATCAACCCACACTTACGTCACTAACAGCATCATCATCCGTCCTGTCTCGTTATCCTTTGCCTCTCAGCCTTCGCCTCCACCACCCGCTACCCTGCAAATTCCTTTGATTGACGTCGTTTCGATATTCGCTGTCGCACCTTTCAGGAACACATTGCCGACGTTAACCGGAGTATCGCTGTAAATGTGGACCATGTGATTCCAGCAAACATGGCCCACTTGTTTTCGAATAATGCGAGGGGATCTTTCACGTCCACTGTGTAGCAGACGGCACTATTTTTACCCAGTTTATACACCTGAAGTATTAACCAGGACGACTGTGCTTATTGAACCATCCTATCGTGTTTTTGTATTGTTTGTTATTGTAATGTTCTGACACGTCATTACTCGAAATCTGTGAAAAAGAGATGTATAGCTCATCGGATTCCTCCAGTATAAATATTCTGATTCTTATTATATACAGCAAGCGGCCCAACATGCTACCGCTGGCCATATTATCGCCCCAGTGAAACATATCTATCGATGGCAGATAATTTCCCATTGTTGGAACTGTCGTCAGCCCACAAATCACGCACCAGGAGTGACTTTTCGCAGATCCTAACCCCTAAATGTGACTCCCGCTTGCAGCAGCAGGAGGAGATCTGCCGCTCGGCGTGTTGGCAGCAGCGAGTGAGGCCACGCACGGCAGTGATGGATCAGCGTAAGGACATCCTCACCACGACAGCGGAACGCACGGGCCACATCTCTTATTTATCATCATCAGCAGCAGCCATGATCAATTCACTGCGGGATAAAGGCCTCCCCAAGCTGCGGCCACCACGCATGATGCCTGCGATTCAACAATCCATCCGGCACTTGCAAATCAATCGATTTCATCCCTCCATCTCCTACCTAGGCAGCCGCCTGGCTTTCATGTGATACATTCCCTGAGCTACGACTCCATTATCGTTCTTGATCATCGACCGTCATCAATATTTTCTGTCATGACTCACTTCCCACTTATTGAATCCATATCGGAGCACCTTCTTCTAAGTACTTCCGAGGTCAAGGCTCATTTCCTGAATACAACTCCCAGACTATGGAACCCTTCACCTTTGGTCATAAGATAGACTCGTTAGAGCGATTTAAGTCTCTCTTGAAGACCCACCTCTTTAAACTGAACATTTTATTTTTACCAGGTAAGGCCTACTGAGCCATGTAGCTCTTTTCCAGAAGCGACCTGGCTATGACAAATGATAGCTCAACGAAGCGGCTTATCACGTGTAAATATATATTAGCAGCCAAATACTCGAAATGCGTGATGTTGATTCTAAATGTGGGGGGAAAAACCGGAGGACCTGGAGAAAATTCCACACGACCATGTGGAGAACATGCACACTCTAAATATATAGCAGGCGTCACAGTTTGGATTGAACCCACGACCTCCTGTATACCAGGCGAGGCAGTTAACTTCTTGCCACCGTGGTGCCCTTAAATTGACCTTCACTCCCTAGTTCAGCCCGTTTACCCTGCAGGTTCTGTTTATTTCTTGCTTTCCATACACGGCACGCATTGGGATCTACGGATGAAATGCGCCTTGCAAATTACAATTATTATACCGTATTCTCACACGTGTCTGTTTAGCTAGCTGTAGCGTGCAGTGGATAGCGGGTGTCAGCAATCATATGCAACCCACGTGCAGTCATAGCAACGATAGGGTTTATAATGTGGAATATTGATGGATACATCAGTTGGTGGATACAAAAATACTCGTCGATAAGAGCTGTTGCACATATTACATTATTACGCTCAAGTATGCATACTATAGGAGTTGCATTGTCAATTGTTATTTTAATAGTCGCTTGTTTGTAAATAAGTTGAATAATGAAAGTGGGAAAAAGCCAGAATATTGTGTGTTCTGGATGCTATCTGTGTTGGATTACAACCACAAAGGGCAGAGCGCTGGGCGTTATTTTGCTGGGGATGGCGAGAACGTCTACCGGTATCCTGGGCGCCATGGTGGTGAGATGTTAACTACATTGCCTGGTATACATGCGGTCGTGGGTATGTTCCCGACCCTGAACGCCTGAATATTTGGAGTTTGCGTGTCTCTCTCCCCGTTGGCGCGTGATTTTTTCTCCAGGTCCTCCGGTTTTCCCCTCCACATTTAGAAATGTGTTTAGAGTATTTGGCTGCTATAAATTTCCACGTGATAAGCCACTTCGTTGGGCTATAATTTGTGACGAGGTCGCTTCAATAAAAGAGTTATATAGCTCAGTGGGCCTTACCTAGTACAATAATAGTTTAAAGTTGTATCCACCCCAAAAGGTGTAAATAACACAATGTACAGTATAGCATCCACAGGCTAGCAGATCTGAGGCATGAGGATGGTCCTCAGGCCTGACTTGAGGCTGTATATCTTCTTAACGTTAACCAGTTGCTGCTGCTGCCCTCAACGTGTGCGCAGACGAGTTCAAGGTGTACGAGACGACAAGCCAGAGGGAGTTCGGGCCTCCGAGAAGCCAGGTCAACCAGGCTATACGGTAAGTTATGCTACAGCATTCCTCCTCAGCCAGAGGCCATGGGACTGATAATAGTGGAGCACTCTGGGAGCCTGGCATTCTAAACTAAACTTTTTATTTCACTGCCCTATGTAGTTATTTTTCAGAAGCGACCTGGCCACAAATGTTAGCTCAAAGAAGTGGCTTATCACATGGAAATGTATGGCAGCCAAATACTTGAAATGGATGTAGTTTTTAAATGTGGAGGGAAAAACCGGAGAAAACTCTACACGACCACGGGGAGAACATGCAAACTCCAAATATACAGGTGTTAGGATCGGGATCGAACCACGCATGCATGGGGTGATGTGGCATGAGTGAGCACGTGTGTGGTCTCTGCTTTGCTGTCTCAGCCCAGGGTCGGCTCGAGGTCTGCTCGCCCATGGGGATATGGCCGGGGCCTGGGCAGAGCCTGCTGAGTACACGCAGGCCTTCTCGTGGAAGCCCGTGGGGCCTACGCAGCCCATTCGCTCTGGAACGGCTTCTGGAAACCGCAGGAACAACCCTCAGCCCAGCAAGGTGATGATCAGGGGCCTGGGAACGGGGCAATGCTGTGATCGTAATAATATTCGAAGGGCCCTGAGAGAAAACGTAAATAAATCTGAAGGCAATGCACGTGCCCTGGTGAGATCACAAGTCGAGGGCACGGGGCAGCGATTGCTGCCCACTACCCAGCCAATCAGCTGCCAGGCAGACAACCCCATGTAACATGGCGACCGGGAGGTCATCGCTGTTTGTGCTTAGGCCGGTCGGTGGCTACAGAAAATGCAAGTCTCTCCATGAGTATCATGTAGGCAACCGTCTCATCTCGTCGCAATCACCACCACTACCAACCACCTTAATCCAAATATACAGCAATTTGTCAATCCACTGCTGCATGAAGGCCTCCCCATGCCCTCAGCCATGAAGGTTGTTTGACCATACTTGACTGTATGTGTCCGTGCTGGTCAGTGAACTTACCGATCCATAGCTGGGAGTCAAATCCATATTGCAGGGTTCATAACACAGTGCGCTAACCACTGCACCATAGGAATGTTGCTCATAAAACATTGTTTAATCAGTAATCAGAAACTAATAACAAAAGTTTTCTTCCACTGAATGCACCCCACAAACTCCACGAAGCATCATGTTATTGTTGTGCATAAGCAATGCTGCCAAAATGACTGACATTTTTAGGAGCCATGTACCAGCCCAGTATCCGAGCACAAGCAATTCTTTGAATGAATGATGGATGAAATAATGCCGTCGGAATCGTTCTGAAAAGTCTACAGAGTATACCCACATTGTCATCATGGTAGCCTTGTGTGGTAGGAACGGCAAAAATGCAAAATGCACCTCCTTTGCATGATGTATGTACTGTATGTTGAACTTCTTCCGCACCGTACGTAGCCAACCATGCCAATCGGAGGTGCGGGGGAAGGACGACAAACAAAACACAAACGTTTCTAATTAGTTTTCAATATAGATGTAAATGTGCATGGCTCCAGTGGGTTCCTTATATCGGAAGGAAGAGCGTTCCAGACGGCCGAGGAAGCGCATCTGAAAGAGCGCGATGAGGTGACCACCGTATTTGTTCGGTGATCCAACCCACTTGGACTGTGCTGCAGGCTTTCCTGGTGTGGAGGCTTCCCAGTGGCAGGTGTGGTTCTGCCTGCGAGCGCCAATCCCCCACCATGACAGAGGCCGAAATAAAGGCGATCTTGTCAAGTCAGTACCAGTCGACCTACCGGGGTGACTACCTGGGCACACAACAGAGTGAGTACGGAACGACGAAGCACGTGCCAATGTTTTCGCCCATCACTCTACTTACCATTCATCATAGATTTTCTGATAATGCCGCTGAATGATCTGACCAAGTTTCTGTCGTTAAGACCCTCCACCACCCGACACAGCCAAACAAATGAGATTGTACAAGCAATGATCGCGCCATTAATTCTTGTTGTTTCAGTTCACTCATAAGTAAGTTGAAGAACACATCTCACAGCCAAATTGCACAATTAGATGCAATGGTTCACTTGAGAACATGTCAAACATCAGAATACTGACTTCCTATATTGTTATTCTGACTTCCTAAAAGCTCTTGTCCTGATGATGTTTGACGTGGTTACAAACCGAACATCGTATCTAATTGCCGCATATGTTTGCGATAATTGTTCTATTCTTTTGCTACGTTTTTTTTTCAGCAGAGGGGAAACAACAATAAACCTGGGCGGCAGGACAGATAGGTTCCATAGCGTCACTTCTACATTTGCATATGCACCAATGGTAATGGCGACACATCGAGCATACAAAACGTAGTAATAGCCTGTGTGTTAAATTACAGGTTGATGGAGTTGGAGTTGGACAAACTTCACAATATAGGACTACAGAGCTTGGGCAATTGTTGTGGCACCCAGTTCTGGCTGCCTTTGTGGGGGCTGATGCCCTCCCCCCACTCCCCATTAGGTGGGGGCCGATCCCCCCCTCCCTCACCACGAGCGGGGGGGGGGCATGTCTACTTTGTGGGGGCTAATACCCCCCCTTCACTCCCCATTAGGTGGGGGCCGACCTCCCCCTCACCCACCACGGGTGGGGGAGGGGCGCCACTTCTAATTGGTGGGGGCTGATGCCCTCCCCCCCACCCGCCATTGGGGGGGGGGGTCAATCACCCCCCCCGTCCCCTCCGCGTTTGTGTCGCTCGTGCCCCCCCGCCCCATCGATTGGGTGACCCTCCACCGTCCCCCCCGTCCCAGGGTCCTCTTGGACCGACATAGCTAGCGGCTGGCCGGCACCGCCTAGGGGCTGATTACGCGCGCGTCCTAACCGCGTGGATTACGTAATTGTTTGACTCGCCGCTGTGGGGTTTAATTAATAATTTCCACTAAGCCGTTGTGTCAACAAGGCGAACGCTCCCGCGCGGTCCGGATATTAATAAATTAATCGGCGCCCATGCGGCCCCCCCCACCCACCCACGTGTGTCTCACTGTTAACACTGCGGTGCACACACAGACACTAGTGACACTCACGTGTGTCTCACCGTTAACACTGCGGTGCACGCACAGACACTAGTGCAGTGGTTCTTAACCTTGTTGGAGGTACCGAACCCCACCAGTTTCATATGCGCATTCACCGAACCCCTCTTTAGTGAAAAATAAAATGTGATTTTTTTCAAATTCAAGACATAGATATGTTTTTTACTGGTACACAAAATGAGCCGTGCATGAACATTACCTTGTTCAAAGAATAAAACCAACACAATGCATAAACTCACAACAAATTACATACCTGGAAATCAATGTGACTTCTACTGTTGCCTTTGAGAGATCAGTTCAGATATGCGTGGCTTCATCTTGGCAAGTGCCACTCTCATGTCATTTTCACAGCAAAGTCTGTTCCTTTTCTTCGTTTTTATGTCCAGCATCCTCGAAAAGGATTGCTCACAAAGATATGTTGTAACAAATGGTATAAAAAAATCCAGGGCTTTCTTAGCAATAACTGGATACTTGTTCATTTGTCGACACCAAAACGTTGAGAGCGTTGTTGTTCTGAAGAGTTGCTGTTGAACCTGGCTCTGCTGAATTTCAATGATTTCGTCGAGGAATTCATCATTGACATCTGCTGTTTCAACAGCAAACGTGAACGGCTGTCTCACCCATGCTGGATATGACTCTCTTGTAGGGAAATATCCGTCGAGAGACTTTGCAAGCTCATCTAAGTGCGTGGCAATTGTTTGCTTCAGTTCCGTGGATACAGAAATATCTCCGATTCCAGACACATCTTCGATCTTACTTGCACAGTCGTCCAGAAGCGGGAAGTTTGTGAAGTTATTGTTCTCTGTTCGTCGTTTCCATAACGGTAGCTTTTTTTGAAAAGCCTTCAGGTGTTCTTCCGCTTCCATGATATTGAGTCCACCACCCTGCATCTGCTGATTGATATGATTGAGAGCTGCGAATATATCAGCCATGTACGCTAAAATGAGAATGAACTCAGGATTTTTGAAGCAATCTGCATGGCAGTGTTGGTGCTCTTGCAAAAACAGGGCTAATTCCACACGCATGGCAAAAACACGATTCAGCACCTGTCCCCGGGATAACCACCGAATATTAGAATGGAGCAGAAGTACCTCAAATTCAGAGCCCATTTCTTTACACAGCTCACTGAAGATGCGGTGCCTCAGAGCACTTTTTCGCACATAGTTCACACATTCCACCACAGTTTTTAATACTTCTGCCATTTTTGGAGGTAAGGTTTTTGTTGCCAACGCATGCCTGTGCAGAATACAATGCGTCACAATGATGTGTGGTGCATCGGCCTTTACTAGCGCACCAAAACCAGACTTTCTTCCCAGCATGACTGGAGCTCCGTCCGTACAAACTGCAGAAACCATATCCCATGAAAGATTGTTGTCTCTGAAGAAGTCATCCACAAGCTTCTTCACATCGGCTGCCTTCGTTGTTGTTGTAAGAGGCTTACAAAATAAAAACTCTTCTTTTATCATGTCGTCTTTCACATAGCGTACAAAAACAGCAAGCTGGCTTAGATCAGAAACGTCTGTGGTTTCGTCGAGTTGAAGGCTGAATTTTGCCGGGCTTGAAATCAGATCCGCGACTACTTGAGCCAAGATGTCTTTACTCATGTCTTCTATTCTGTCACTGACGGTGTCATTTGAAAGGGGAATTTGGGATAATTTACCTTCGGCCGCTGTTCCGAGTATCAGATTCGCCATCTTTAATGCAGCTGGTTTCACAAGTGTTTCACCAATGGTGTGTGGCTTGCCCTGCTTTGCGATCAGGTAAGCAACTTCGTACGATGCTGTCAGGATCGGTTTGTTAACAGGTACAAATCCAAGAGCAGGCAGAGTGGCCCTTTCATCGAATCTGGCTCTCTTCACCCTGAATTCAGCAAGTGTTGTGTTCTTGTATTCCCCGTCTCCATGCAGCTTCAAGAAGTGTTCCTTTAGTTTTGCCAGTGCAAGACTAGAGTTGCTCAACTTGGCGTTGCAAATCATGCAGATAGGACGCTCACTCCCATCACGTTCCGTGATACATGAGAATCCATGTTGTACATATTCGTCCGACCACTTTCTTCTTTTGCCCGACATAGTTAGTATGGATAAAATATTAAAGAAATCACACGACGTACGACAACAACAGTCACACGTTGACTACTGAGTACGCACTAAATTCCCCGCAGCGCTGATTGGCCAAGCAGTGTAGCATGATCATCTGCAGCCAGTGATGGCCAAGCGGGCCGTGTGTGTCATCACAAATTTACACAATAATTCAAGTGTGTCCGGACCTCCGTGGCGGGGGCTCTGCCGAACCCCTGAGATCGACTCACCGAACCACTGGGGTTCGATCGAACCCAGGTTAAGAACCACTGCACTAGTGACACTCGCGTGTGTCTCACCGTTAACACTGCGGTGCACGCACAGACACTAGTGACACGTGTGTCTCACCGTTAACACTGCGGTGCACGCACAGACACTAGTGACACTCGCGTGTGTCTCACCGTTACAGACACTAGTGACACTCACGTGTGTCTCACCGTTAACACTGCGGTGTGCCCATATACACGCGCCGGTGCGGGCAACCGTTGGTATTTTAATATGCGCGCGCGTCACACCCAAACAGATTTATAGTCACCCACACACCGTCGTACGCCGATCGCTGTCCCACCGCTCTTGACACGCACACATGCACCACGCGTCAAACGTCAGTCTGTGCTAAGATTTATTTTCCGGAGCGAATAGGGAACCCCTGTTTATGGCCCCCTTCAGCCAGCACCCTTCGGACAGCGCCTAACCTCCTATCACCTAGCCGTCGCAGAGTGCGTTTACCCTCCAAGCTCAAGCTGTGAGCTGGGCTGAATTGCCCCCCCTCCCGTACCTACTCACCTCTTCAGCTGCCCGATGGGGGCTGGGGAAGATGCTCGCCTTGAAGACTTTGCCTGGCCGATCGTTTTCAGCTGCACTCTGCAGGCGTCACACAGACGCTGACGGCGGCTGGTTTCTCCACCACTCCAGGAGAGTTCTGAGTCAATCTGCCCCTCCGGCCGCCTTATGTGCCCCCAAAGCCCCTTAACCCCCACGCTCTGGCCGTTGGGGGGGGGGTCACGTCATCCCCCCCCCTTCCCATTGTCTCTGTACCTGCGTTCCCCGCCGTTGACTCACCGATAATCCCCTCGCTCCCTCCAACTTAAATCAACTCTTATATGCCTAGGGGCTTTTCCCTCCCACTGTTTACACTGCCAGCTGGGTGCTGGCCTTGAGGTCCCATCCCCCCGTGATGTGTATGCTTCATCGCGGCCGGCTAGTAAAGCTCTATGCCCCCTTTTTGGGGGGGCCGCCATGTAATCCGGTCTGGGGGGCTCAGCCAATTTCCTGGTCCGGGGAAACCGTGGACGTCCCTGTTAATGGGGTCCTCGGGTTAAAACCCATCGTACCAGGTGATCCCTCCTCGAGACCCTACGAGGGTGCATGTGAGTGTTTAGTGGGGCATGCGTGCGTTCGTGGGGGGGGTGCAAGGAGAGGGTAGCGCCGGCCGAGCTGCTCCGCTGCGGTGGCACCACACCTTCCCGCTTGTCTGCGGTGCCGCCGGCGCCTCCATGCGAAAACTGCGCGCGGCATAAATTTTGCAGCTGGGGTTTTCGAGATGCGATTTCCATGAATGAGGCCGAATTAAAACAAAAAATGTAAACGTTACGAGAAGGAACGCGCGATGCAGGTGTGTGGTCAGGCCAGGGGAGCGCGGAGGACGGGGGACACCGCGGAGCCTCGGGATCATGGCGGCTAAGCGGAGGAGCGCAACCTCTCCTCTCCGAGTTCCAGGAGGGCTACCGGTGGCCGAGCCTCGACCCGCGGGTCTCCTTCCGTGCCACAAACTTTGGCTGCAACAAGAACCGCCGCCTGCCTGCCCTCGGCATCGGTAGCGACCACGCAACCGTGGACAACCCTCCCGGTTCTCCTCGATACGTGCAGTTAAAGATAAAATGCACGTGGTGTTCACTATGTGGAGGGACAGCTCTTAATCTTGTTTTCTCCACAGCAAAGTTCACGATTGTTTTGTGTCACGTAGTTTTGTGTCCATATCTAAGAGGGCCCTTGCCTATAAAGATCTGGCAGTTCACCAAACCTGACTACGAATGAGACATTGACAATTGCAACCGGTCCAGTTTGCTTACATTGAACCAATACTGCTGATGTTATGCACTCCCGACGTGGCACTGTTTCTATTGTTGGCATGGAGATGCCACATGTTTGTGAAACGTTACCAATTATACTGGGTCATATGGGGTAATCTCTCAACCTCTTGGTGTATGTGGCCTGCTGAAGAGAATGCATGTGTTATTCAGACCCATTCAATGAAGTCCACTGTTTGTGCATAACTAAATGATACAGCCTTGAAGTTACATGTATACCCCATTTGTCATCCTGCAAACAGAGGAGCAATCAGAACGATCCACTGATTTGTACACGTTTGCAGTATCCTTGTGCGATATACAAACTCCAGAGCCCTTAATATTGTACTGCTTTCTGCTTGTCACCATGGCCCACATAAAGGTAGTGAACCATCTGTTGATAAAGGCAGTGAACCATCAGTGGTGAAGCCCGGAAGTAATTGTTTTACGTTTAAGACTGGTAGCCAGAGACCACATGAGATATGTAATCCCTGAAGGATTTAAAACTTACACGACACAAACTCGTTACGGTGTATCGACAAGCGGATGGTCTTTGGGGGCTGTTGTTGAACTGGCTTAGAGTCATCGAGTTAACGGACCCGTTAGCGAGATGTTAACTACTTGCCTGGTATACGGGAGGTAGCAGGTTCGATCCCGACCCTGATGCCTGTATATTTGGAGGGTGCCTTTTTCTCCCGAGGCCTCCGGTTTTTCCCTCCACATTTTAAGAAACATGCGTTGAGGGCTGCTTTAAATTTCGAATTATTTGTGGCCAGGTTGCTTCTAACAAACAAGGTATATAGCTCAGTGGGTAAAATAAAAAAAAATTGTAAGGTGTTTTTTTTATGGACATCGTGTGTGGCCCTTGTGTCTCCCTCGTAGCTCCGAGCGTTGCGCGAGTGCGAGGGCCCCTCCCAGACACGGGGGGAGTTGTCACCTCGTACCAGCAGCACTACGGAGACGCGGACTCCTGCCCTATCCGTACGCCTCGCTGCAGCACCCAGCCGCTACTTTCGTCCAGGAGCAGCGCTCGCCTGCACTAGGGCCAAGTGAGTCCGAGTTAGAATTAGGTCGGACAATAAGACTGTAGCTCAAGTTTGCGGATTTAATTTTGCACCTTTTGCACCAACAAAACAACACTAAAGTTACCAAATGTCCCTATTTGACCAGGACATTGCTGGTTTCAAAACGTCTCTCTCGGTGTCCCAAAGCATTTGCAAAAATCGGGATTTTGTCCTTGGTTTACTTTTCTAAAATCATGCTGAACTCGTGGGTGGACAGTGGGCACTATTGGTAGGGTCAACATTACAGGTCACTGCGGGTGGGGAGTGTTCGAGTGGGATAATGAAGGGGCTGTCATCTCACCATGCCATGTTGAGCCTCTCAGAAATGTGTTAGCTTTAAGCAACAATTTGTGCCAGCTAAAAGGGTAAAAACCTATTACTATATCTTGTTACTGGCAAAGGAGGTCTCATAATGTAAAGGCTTACCCCGAGCTCTCAATACTCTGATAGTGCAGTTTTTGAGTTGTACGCCTTATGGTGTCATCTGGTCCAACACCAGTGGAGACTAGGCTCTAAGAAAAGCTGTCTCGGGTGTGAACCAATCAAATTCAAGGACGGTGCATATTATCAGAGTTGTCTCTTTTGTTTGCATTTTGACTGCTTGTGTTGTGGTTATTGCAAACATGATCCCTTGTATAAAGGTGTCAGTTTTGGTGCCAGATAAAAGGGTAAAAACCTATTACTAAATTTAAATGTATCTGCACTGTGCTGAACATGCTAATTGTCTGTGAATGGGTCTTGTTGATAATTTCAGGGAACCCGGTCACAAGGTACACCTGCACAGGTGCAGCATATTCTGCTAAAATGTTGCTGGAAAACATTGGTGCAGAATCTTCATCAACTGATACACCTCTAAGTTGTCACTTTTAGAAATGACAGACCACTATCTGTAAACAAGTGGCTTGAGAAAACTCAATGACATCATAAACGTGGCTATGTCACCTATCCTCTTCACATTCCTCCTATCTCAAGGCAACTGGAGGCCCTGTACCTCTACTGAAGGTTTGGGATGACTGGAGCGATATCAAATGAAGACCTCTCAGGATCATCTGAAGAAGCCTTCAGCGGGAGAAGACCATCCCCACCGCAGCAGCAGAAATACCAAGGCGCTGGAGGAGACCTGGGCTGAGGGCTCTTAATGGGACTACACGGCCCAAGGAGATGAGGACTTAAATTAATGTTTCACGAGGCTTTGTTTAAAGAGTGTGAATATCCATGCAGGCATCATTATTTGGATGTCTCCAGATTTTCAAATGTGCATGCAAATCGTGTACATCTCTGTTGTAGATGAGGAAATTCACATGATCATGACAGGGGTAATATCCAAAGGACCACTTGATTTCTCAAAGTGTTGCTAATCTTATGGACCTTGAAAATGCAATTGGCTAGGTAAAATTGTTTTTTATTTATTTAATGACCATAAGACGATTCTGCATGTCAAGGTCAAATTTAAAGATAAAACAACTCTATTAACGTCTACTCACAACGTTGTCGCTTCTAGTATAGATGCGACGATGCTGCCAGCTGGTATGGCATGAAAATAATGATCTAACAAAAACTACGACAGTCACACAATGCGCTTTGTGTGAACTTAAGAGGGATAGCATTATCAGCTAAAGCTTGTGTGGGCTGGCAACAAACCTTCAGCATTGAGCCGCGGCACGGTGTTATGTATTCGGGGATTGCACAAGAGACCAAGAAACAAAGATAACCCAAAAAAATCGGTGACCTTGCCGCAGGAAGTGGCTGCTTATTGAGGCCACAATTTATTGGTTTCCAATATCAGATACCTTACGGACAAATATCCTACACAGTTTTTTAAACCAACCAATTACTTATGTTTAGAATTTAGCCATCAAAAGAAGCTCCCTGCTGTGTCATCAGTTCAACATCTGTGTCAATATCTAAAAGCATCTCGAGAAGAAAAACAACTTCCTTCCTGCCTTAAATACAACTTGCTTCCTGCCTGGTGCACAAATGTAATAAAAAACACATTTTTCAAAATTATAATAGACACATTCTGGAGAACATCACAAACTTTAGTTTAGACTGCCTGAAATCGTGTTTCAAGGGGGCAGGGTGTTTATTTTATGGGGGGGGGGGGGGGGTGGGTGGGGGTCACACGGGAGAAGCGCAGCCCCCCTCCCCACCGATGGGGTAGCTCAGACGATCATCTCGAGCTGCCGTGCGTACTCGATGACTTGCTGCGCCAGCTCTGTGGATGGGATTGTAGCCTCTTCCGGTTTCTGCTGCTGCGTGTTCCCAAATAGCACGTAGCTGTCGGCTCCCAGTTTCCAGCCGCGCTGCAGATGCGAGCGGCGCAGTGCGGACACACGCGCACCAACGCACAGCCACCGCATGGGCACATAGCAGTCGTGAGCACAGCACGGAAACACGAAACCACCATTTGTGATATAACATTTATTTGTGTTAAATAATTCCCAATAAAATATTTAAGCTAATTTAAAACACTGTTTCAGTCGAGCTGGATTTATTGAGCAATGGCTTTTTGAGATTATTTTAAGTGCCTTATACATAACGCAAATTGTATTGCATTGTTGGTGACTCATGTACAAGTAAAACACAAAGCAGCCCTTTCGCTTGGGGCCGATGCTCACCTTGGTGCTGTACTCGGTCATCTGCTTCTGCGCATTGAAGAAGAGGACGCGCGCTGCCTCCTTGAATGATATCCTCTCGTACGCTTTCTCTATGCAGCCCGCGATCTCGTCCCTGTGCACATCGCCGAATGGGGCAGTACACAGGGGACTTGTTTGCATTGCTCCTTCGCATAGAAAATCTGAATCTTTATACTGGAGAAATCCGATGAGCTTTGAAGCTCTTTTTCACAGATGTCCAGTAGGGCCGGGTCATAAAGTTACAACAGAAAACAGTACAAATACACGATAGGAGTGCGAAGTAGAGGAAAGGTAAGCAAATCACAACAACAAAAATAAAGTATATAAGTTCAAATTGCATAAGTACAAAAATTCCTCAAGCTTGGGCAAGGCAGCAAAACCAGTCCCAGACCACACCAAGACAACACAGTCCCCGGAGGAATGTTACAGTAACTCAAGGCGCACAAACAGCGTTATGCTGTAGCGAGTTGGCCAACATTTTGGAGGTGAATTGGCAGACTTTATTTCGAGGAATTAGATTGAAACTGCCATATTGCTATAAAATAAGAGCCAAGTGATTTTGGTTGCATATTCCTTTACTTACCGAGATCACGGAGTCCTATCCCAATTCATTCAATAAACTTAATTCTGCTTCTGGCCAATTAGATCTGATTGAGTCATAATAAATTCTGAAAAGACAGGATCCTATCAGAGCTTAACCACTTACCGCTACTATTTACAGTGAAAATTCAATCCAAATTACAGTACCAACTACACCAAATGCAGTTATGTTAAAAATTTACTTTCGGCCGAAATCGAAAGTATGCCGAGAGAGGCCATTTGCCAACTTTCGGCGCCGAAACAGAAACCGAATTTCGGTCGGCCTCTACCATATACAATTGTTAGCAACTGCCAAATTCACGACTGAATAATGTATAACCAAACTGTAGTACATTTTTGGCTCGTTGCAGCTTGATATTGTAATGTACAATGCCTTACATATTAACATGCAAGCACTCCAGCAAACTGAGATAAACGGCTGTCATTGTAAATCCTGTGTAGAAACATCCGTGCTTTCCTCACTTAACCCCAAAATCCATGTAAACTACAGGACACATACGAATGTGTATGGGGTCGTCTGCGCGGTGGCGGTGAGCCTAACCGGATTGTGTCGAGCAGGATGTCGATGAAGAATGTATACGACTCTGCCGGCACATTCCCCTTGGCCAGAAACACTTTGTTGTAGCTGCCTTCCATCAGGTACTGCACACACACACAACACAGAACATGTTCGGTTAATACACACTGCTAACATTACTTTGAAAGCGTGTCTTCATTAGCTCTGCCGATCCGTCCCTCCATAATGAGGATAACTATAGCTCTTATAAAGATAATCCAGCATGAATTAATCTGTAATGTACAATTGTGGTGTTATAAGGGACTTCGCCTATTGAAATCCGGCAATATTTATGCAAGAACAAAATAGACTATTGGCAAATATGCGAGCATGTTTGTCCCTGACAGCTACCCATGAGCTTCCATACTGAATTTTTTTTTCAAAAACAAACACGTTGGTAACTTATTACATGTGTAGTCGGTTGTGGCTGAGACCTGCTCAAGTGACACAGGGTGTTTTATGTAGACATTGCCCTGGAGCTCGCGGGCAGGAAGGCGCTCTAGCTCCGTGTGGAACTCGGCCACACGGTTCTGCGAGAGCAGGCACAGCAGGTTGAGGCCCAACAGCTGCCACTTGTAAGCCGACTCTGGAAGCTCGCTCCTGCACGTCGCCACATACCGCAAGGGAAGGGTTACTCACCCATGCTCACACACGGAATGAGGCTCACATGCGCAGAGTGCATGTGAACCAGGGATCACACACAATACGTCGCAAAGGCACGTATGGAGCATATACGTCTTTCCATATATGCATGTATGTTAAACTTCTTTCGAACCGTACGTAGCCAACCGTGCTAATCGAAGGTGTGGGGGAAGGACAACAAACTAATCACAAAAAGTAGTTCTAAAGAAATAAGTTTTCAATCTAGATTTAAAAGTACATAGCTCCAGTGGCTTCCTGATATTGGAAGAAAGTGTTCGAGACAGCCACAGAAGCGCACCTGAAAGCGTGCGATGTAGTGACCGTTTTTGTTCGACGTCTAGCCAAAAGCCGCTGCGAGGATGACCGGAGGTCGGGTGATGGTTTATGCTCCTTGATGACATCAGCAAGGTATTGTGGTTCATTTGTGGCAAGCCATGCATGTAGCCACCACTGGTGAGGAATTAACAACCCCCCAACAACATGGGCACGTGAGTGCCATACATCAAGCATCACCACGCCCCACTTGTCTTGCATATACAGTTATACCCCAGGTAGCCAGACTAAGGGGGGCTTGTAGTGCAGCTTGAAAGACAGAGCTTTCGATAAATCAAGACTCACTTGTAGTCAAAGTAGTAGCATTTGAGTTGTGCGATGTATCGCTCAAACGAAGGGATGTCCTTTTTCTGAACACTCCACTGTGCACCGATCTCCAAGATATCTCCTGGACACACCACACCAAAGGCAAGCTCAAGAGCATCACATAACCACCGGGATTTAGCAAATCAATGGCAAAAGCAAATGACGTATTAGCAACAGACGTTATAACGGGGTGAGTTTATGTTCACATGCAGTGGGTGCTCAAAATAATACATCTTCAAATGTGATGTTACAGATATAACAAATGCTCTGATTGGCTGAATGAGGTCACATGGTCATGGTACCATGGTCCACAATGACTGAATGTTTTGACTTATAATACCATGGCATGATGATGTTTTATAAACTTGATTCAACTGTTTATAAAATAACACCTACCTTCATTATTTTCCTTTGGTCAAGAGAAAATTTATATTTAAAATGTAATCAATTGTCTAAAATACCTTAATATTATACTTATATAGGCCGAGCTGGGACGTCTCCTTGCCTAGTTCCCTTGCCAGGATCTCTGGGATCGGCTGTCCAGGCAAAAGCGAGGATGGGGATTGGGTTCTCGGTCTCCCAGCTTGCACTGTGTGAAGTATTACACACTTGGGCTGTGATTTTAATTGCTCAGCAATGTGCATCTATGCTGAACAACAGAAGCAACACAGGTGCGGGGTTTAACATGAGTCGCGCAACATTTGAAAAGTTTAACAAAACAAAGGTTTGCACTGTTTAACTTCAGCGTCGGGACGATACAGTAGAGGAAGATAATGAGGTGGGGCAGGTGAAGGGAGGTGCGAGGTGACGGGGCTCAGAGGTGGAGATTCCGGCCAAAACGTACGTGCCAGGATGAGCTGCTGCTTGCTAGGCTTGGTTCCACCCACTGGTAGGAAATTGAGGTCGAGTAGCGCAAGCTGTGAACACACAGCAGTGACATTTCAGGCCGGGCAGCATCAGGGTGGCACAATGGTGGTAAACACTTGTGGCCTCAGCAAGAAGGGCCTGAGTTTGATTCCCAACTCGGGCATATTGTTTGGAGTTTGTATTCCACCCACTCCACCTGTTCTACATTGGTTTCTCCTCCCGAGTTTTAGTGTTCCCTCCCATAGCTAAAAAAAAAATATGTCACTGGTATTAACCAATCATTCACATTGATGAGACAATTCTGCAAATTATGAAATAGGAGTTACATGTAGAAACAGGGCCCCTTACTGCGAACAAAAATCACTTGTTCATAATAACTTGGCAGGACCTTCTGAAAAGGAGTCTTGAGACATAGGCTTCGCTGGGTAAACAAACGTACAAGTAATTACTACTATAATGAGCCAAGAATATCCGTTTGTGTGTAACGCGCGTGACGTCACTCCACATGCCGCATCCCTGCCCCCCCGTCATTAGTATTCACGAGCGGGTGGATTTTTACACTCACGCAGAAGGTGGAAATCAAATATCATTTTTTTCGCAAATTCGTTTTAAGTTTGACGTTTCTTTATTGAAAGAAATCATTCTACGCAGCACCAAAGTGGATTTAGTGTCTTTATTTCTTCAGCACTTGAGACAAAAGGTCAGTCTAATTTATGCTTCTACATTATGGTAAAATAGACATTTCTCGGTGATTTTCCAGATATTGTATCGAATTCCCATTTATTTCAACCCCAGCGTCCAAAAGCAGAAGAGAATAAAATACCAGAGCAGTGAATTTGAACAAATTGAAGATCAGTTATATACAGTGCTACAGTCACATGAAGTGAGGTGTTTTATGACTTCGTTTTGTGCAAGATTTACTGCCATTAATACAGTGCTACAGTGAAATGCAGTGAAGTGTTTGATGACATACATTTGTGCAAGGTTCACTGCCATTAAATGTACAAATGACACAATTATACTCTGCTCAATTTTTTCGTAAATATTACAGCTTCCGTCCTAGGACGGGCAAACAAGCTAGTAACAATAATAAGCACCAATATTTTACAATTGTGACTATTGTACACACACCTACGAATAACTTTCGAAGCCCGATAGGTCAATGTTACGTTGACTCATCATATTAAACAAACTCACTACCAAAAAAAAATAAACTTTTCGGTGACTTGTACATTTCTGAACGGCTTTTTTTGTCAAGCTATATCGGTTGATATTCTTGGTTCTTTCGGTAAAGTCACGTCGAAGGGAATATGAATCCCAGCAGTCACGAAAGCTTTAAATCAAAATTCATATCGGTTGACTTAAATTTGTTTTTCTTTCTGACCGAATTATTTATTGTTCTGTATTTTACAACGTACAAACGACTTAGCTTGTATTTTAATGACTTGTGATGATGACAATCGTTTCCCCGCAATGTATTCCGGCTGAGAAGCCTACCGTGAGTCATCGATTTTGCGAGGACCATGGGCACAAGCTGGGGCCTACGCCACGGAACGTCGGTCTAGAACGCTCGATTTTAAAGTCGCTGCCAATAGCCACAGTAGGGTAACCCCGCGCACAGAACATCGGCACCCGGTGACGTTTGATTACATCGCTTAACTTACCCCGAGGTCCTGGGTCTCGACAAGATTGGCAAGATCGCGCGCGCAACTGGGAGTCGCGGCTGCGGTGGCGACTGACACTGAAGAATGTGACAAGAATGTGCCGGCTACGATGGTGACGATGTCTATGAAGCTGTTGAGGTTGCTGGTGACCGACAACGACATCGCCAATGATGCCGGCTAGGATGACACCGATTGCTGTGGCGGTGCCGAGCATGGTGATGGCGATGACTGTTCACGGCTATGATGAAGGCCGTGATCATCTTTATCACGTCTAGGATGGTGATGTTGATGGCTACATTCGCGTCCGTGTCCTTCATGGCACGGGCTATGACTACAGTGACGATCTCGATGACCACGGCGCTGTCGGTTATAATGAGCGCCGCTCAGCCCCGGCCGCCTTTGTCTCTCCAACCAGCCGGGGCTTCGCGGCCTTGCTGGGGCTCATCATTGCCGCTACCCCATCCATAAGGGCCGCGCCACCGCTGTCACCTTGAGCTTGGCGAGCAGCTCGCCGCACGCGTCGAGGCTGGGCGCCTTCTTGCCCCACTCGAGCGCCAGGAGATCGCGGGCGCTGAGCGCCTCCTGCAGCCGCAGCCTCGCCGCCTCTTGCTCTGCCGCCGCCGCCATGACTGCAGAAAGCCTCGTCGCCGTGACGTCACCCCAGCGTGAGACGGCTTGTGAGCGTGACGTCACCACCAATTGAATTACAAATGTCGCATGACGTCATTTACTCGATTCCCCCCGGACGTGACGTCACCGCCAACTATTAATCTCCGGGATAACGGTGTCATGACGTCATTTACTCGATTTCACCCAGAGCGTGACGTCACCCTAGCGTGAGATGGCTCGTGTGCGTGACGTTATCGCCGACTGGAAACTCTCCGGGGCACGATCGCATGACGTCATTTACCCATTCTCCCCCCCCGGAGGCGTGACGTCACTGCGTGTTTGACACTCGGGCCTGCCGCACGTTGCAGAGACGGCGCGCCGAAGAGAGTTGTCCCTCGCCCGCCACCAACCCTCACGAGCCCCCGGTGGTGCAGGCGAGGACTTTGCAAGGCCTGCACCTTGACGTCACTTGATTCGGGCGACGAGTGAGGAGACCCAAGAGAGAGATAAGAGAGAGAGAGCGAGAGCAGGGGCCGCCTAGGCGAGCGAGGCCCGGAGTGAGGAGCGAGGCACGCGTGAGGGAGCGGGCGAGTTGCTGCGCGCCATGGAACTCACGGCGCTCGGGGGAGACGCGGGGGACGCCATCCGCGACCTGGGGTGAGGACGCAGAGACCACTTCGTGGGTGACACGAGGGGAGAGAATAGCGCAGTCCCAACGGCAGTGTCAGTGCAGTGGGCACGTTTCATTTCACCCTTCGTCTTGTCGGCGTCTGCGTGTGCGCAATGCCCAAGAGTGAGCCCAGTGTGTCCCTCATGTCTGTCCCCCTTCCCCCCACCGTGTGTGTGGCCGTGCCTGCCCAACCCAGGTACGCGCTGCCCGCGGGCGGCGTGCAGGACGTGTGTCAGCTGGCGGACGGAGGCCCGGCCTCGCCCGACTTCACGCAGCTCTGTGCCTGGCTCACCAATCAACTCCGCGCCGTGTCTCCTCTGGAGGAGAGCCTCACACCCACCAGCGGTGAGACCCCCTCGCCAGCGATGGGCCTCGCTGCGGATGAGGACGTTGAATCGAGAGGTCTTTGGTTACGCAGTCGAGCAGGGGGGTTATCGGCCTGCCTCGCATTTTCCGTGGACCCTGAAGAATCATTCACAGCCGTGTCGTGTTTTTGTGCGTGGTGGTACATACTACACCTGGAGAGATGTTCATCATCGGGCTAACAAGGAAAGTATTTTCGCTGAGCCTCAAGATACTGTTCAGGAGGGTCCTGCCAACTGTTTGCATTAGGAGGGGGGCGATGCGTAATTGAAATTGAGTAATTTCCAAGTAATTTTCAACTTTGGGATGTTTGGCCGACACCATTTACTTTGTAATTGGAGAGGAAACTCATGCTGAAGAGGGGGAGAACATACAAACTCCACACAAAGGCACCTGATTTGGGAATCAAACTAAGGATAATTTTCCTGTGAGGCACGAGAGTGACACAGCTGCCCCACCATGCCACCCAAAACAACTCCCCATCCATCGTGGCCCCTCTTCAGCTGGCTAACCCTTGCAGGTTCTGTAAGGCGACCGCTGATGGTTGCCCCAACCCTCGAAGCATTTGTGACTGCAGCTTGTCACATCTGAGCCATCTCGCCTGGAGCCATTGGCTAATTTCTATACCTGTCAACAACCCATATGGTTTACCCGTATTCTTGTACAGGGAAATTGAGTTTTCAGGTCCATACGGCGTACAGCTGTTTCAATAAAGGTAAAATAAATGTCTGTTTTTCTCCCGTGTGATCGGACTTCGTAGGATGAACGTTGACCAATAAGGTCTGAATTGGTCTGTAATAAGGTAGGGAACCGATAAAGGGTTGATAGGTATGCAGTTCACAACTATAGACTATCACGACATTTACAAGTACAGTATTCACAAATTGACCTGGGCCTTTGCAAACAAACAGGCGCTCGCTAACAGCGCTTCCCGTCAACAGTCATGTATTCATACTGGAGGAATCCGATGAGCTATAAAGCTCTTTTTTTACACATGTTCTGTATTGGTCTGGAATAAAATATGCACTGATAAGGGGTTGACAGGTATGAATTTATACTCATTGGTTCTTTTGGTAAAGTCACGTAGATAGAAAATAATACATACAAATAATAGATCACGACGTTTCGATCGCAACAACAAGCGATCGTCTTCAGGTGAAAGAAACAGACTGCTGTGGACGAGGCCTTATATATGTAACGCCATGAACACACGGTGTGCTTACCTGCACTAGCGGACATACGTCAGTAGGGGGTGATATGTGGGCCACCGAGGTTCCCCAGACCCCAAGAGGGGGGCTGGGGGAATATTCTAGGATCCCTTGGAACACTCTGGAAGGGAGGCATGGCCAGGGGCGGAGAGACCCTAGGAGGTGTATAAAAGCCGGACCTCTGAACGGGTTCGGCAGTCGTCCTCAAGCCGAAGACAGAAGACTAGGTTTAGAATAGGACCCTGGGACCCCCAGTCCCGCTGTCCTTCTAAGGGCCGGGACTGAGGTGGGCCAGTGGCCAGGACCCGATGACCTTGGCTGGGTCGGGTCAGGATAGCGTCCCCTAGGGCCCCTAGCCGGAGGGCTGAGTGTAGAGTGGGCCCCAGTGTTAGGAGGCACGATAGCCCGGAGGCCATACCTCCCCAGGTAGCAGGTGTAAGGGGCCATTGCCCTTTGTAGTCAGGACCTTGCTTTTAGTTATTTGTTAAGTGAACTGTTGCCTCAAGTACCGGCTCTCCCTCGTTTTTGAGCTCACTACATATAGACAGCGCGGGGGGGGTGGGGGGGGGTGCCGCATCAGGTAAGAGAGGGGGCTAGAGATTGTGAGAGATTAGTATGTACCCGAGAGGGGGGGAAGGGGTTGCCGCATCGGGCAAGAGGGTGGGGGCGAGAGATTGTGAGAGATTAGCATGTAGGGTATGTGAGAATGAGAGTGCAATCCAAAGGGCAAGTGAGAGTGTGCAATGAAATGAGGGCATGTGTGGAAAGAGTTTGCAATCCCACGAGGGCTTAGGTGAGAGAGAGAAGAAAGCTGAGCCATCAAACTTAGCAAAACTTAACAATGAAATGCAACTCAGAGAGTCGGCCGACACAATAGTTAAAAGTTTACCTGTTTCCCCTACAGCATTACACACATTTTATTTCATTCGTTGCCAGATTGTGCCATCTTGTGAAACGTAGATGTTTAAAACAATGTAAGATTTGGAAGTGTGGGCCATTATGTGCCAAATACCAAGAGCCCCTGACATCCTTACATATGTAGTGACTGGGAATGTCACTGTGTGGTGCTGGGCTTGCGAGGCCACGGCGGGATGTATACTGTTGTGTGTACACCCCGGATACGGGGTGTAGTACCAGCCCTAGTGGGGGCTTGGGTGAGCTCTGGTTAAGCGCGGTGGCACCACAGCGTGCAGTGCAAGCTCCCGTTGAGAGAGCAAGAGAGTGTCAGCCAGCTAGGGTTACGTTAAGGGCATGATACTCTGGCTGACCTGGGGACATGTGACCGGATGATACTGGAGGGGGGCCACCGGTGGAGGGGGCCAATGGGTGGTCACATGGTCCGAGAAGAACTCTCAAGAGACTTCGGGCAAGGGCGAGAGAGATCGAGAAGGTGGGCGGGGCGAGAGGCGGAGCCAGCCCCAGCCCGATATAAGGGGGGCCCTGAGAGGGGCTCGGGGTTCTTACTGTTGGAGAGGCAGGAGATCCACGTCAAGCTTCAAGAAGCCTCCAGACACGCGGTCTGGGACCCAGCTTGTGGTCTGGACAGAGATAGTGGAACCGTTCTTGATTTGAAGCTTTCGTGACTGCAGGAATCCATACTCTGGTTCTTTCGGTAAAGTCACGTAGTTAGAAATAAAATCAAACGAATCACGACGTTTCAATCGCAACAAAAGCGGTCGTCATCAGGCAAAGGAGTCAGCCTCTAAAAGGCAAACTGTTTATAAAGGTTTGGGGATGGGCATAGCCCAAGTGTATCAACAGCACCAGGAGCATGGGCGGTGCACGAGTGCCAATGCAGCAGCGATGCCAATGCAGCAGCAATGCCAATGCAGTGGGTGAGAGAGCTGCCGTGGCAATAGGTTATCTAGGTAAGAAATTAGGGGAGGAGCAAGGGGAGAGAGAGAGAGAGAGAGGGGGGGTGTGGGGTAGGGGGATGGGGGGGGGCTGCGTGAGCGCTAGGGGGAGAGAGGACGTGAAGCTGGGGGGGGGGGGAAGTGGGCGGGGCTAGAAGTGGGAGGCTGGGAACGCTAGGGATGCGGAGGGAAATTAACTCGGAAAAATAGACTAGTACCCACCAGATATGATGGAACAACCATAAACGGTTAAGGTTTTAACTGGTTAATAACGTCCTTCCAATGATTGCTCAATTTGTATTAATATTCTCGGTTGAAGTTATGTCTGTTTATATATCTGGATGCTTCATGAACAAACCTTTGATAGTAGCCCGAAGGTTTGCAGAGTACCTTGGTCTCGAAAAAAAACGATATCATGCGAGCCCATAGTGTTATAACAATGGTCAGCCACGGCAGAGGCATTGGTTCTTCCGTGTTTCAGATCTGCCTTGTGTTCGCGAACATGGTCCGAGACATGTTTCATTTCCCCAATGTAATTGCTACCGCAAGGAAACTCAGTTTGTAGACTCCAAGATATTGCATATCAGGAATGAATCCTTCACAGATGGGATTCGATCACGGATTTTGTGTACTGTATTGAATCGGACCTGGATCTTGTGTTTGTTTAAGATTTTGGAAATCTTTTTGGTAACACCTGCTATGTATGGTAACGTGATGGTATTGATCGGCTTCTCAGGAGGTTGTTTTTCCATGGTTGGAGAAACAGCTTCGCGAATAATGCAGTCCGAGTACCCATTCATCTTGTGTTTGTTTAAGATTTTGGAAATCTTTTTGGTAACACCTGCTATGTATGGTAACGTTATGGTTTTGATTGGCTTCTCAGGAGGTGTTTCTCCATGGCTGGAGAAACAGCTTTGCGAATAATGCGGTCCGAGTACCCATTCATCTTGAGGGCCGGATGTACGTGTTCCAGTTCACTGGCTACACTACACCATAGGGCCACTGCATTTCTGACTAACACCATCTAGCCAGTGAACTAGAACACGTACAGCAGGCCCTCAAGATTAATGGGTACTCAGACTGCATTATTCGCGAAGCTGTTTTTCCAACCATGAAGAAACAACCCCCTGAGAAGCTGACCAAAACCATCACGTTTCCATACATAGCAGGTGTTGCCAAAATATTTCCAAAATCTTAAACAAACACAAGATCCCGGTCCGATTCAATACAGTACACATAATCCGTGATCGAATCCCATCTGTGAAGGATGTCATTCCTGACATGCAATATCCTGGAGTCTACAAACTGAGTTGTACCTGCGGTAGCAGTTACATTGGGGAAACAAAACGACATGTCTCGGACCGTGTTCGCGAACACAAGGCAGATCTGAAACACGGCAGAACCACTACCTCTGCCGTGGCTGACCATTGTTATAACGCTGTGGGCTTGCATGATATTGTTTTTTCCGAGACCAAGGTACTCTGCAAACCTTCGGGTTACAATCAAATGTTTGTTCATGAAGCCATCCAGATATATAAACATAGACATAACTTGAGCCGAGAAGATGGATACAAATTGAACAATCATTGGAAGGATGTTAATAACCAGGTAAAACCTTAACTGGTTATGGTTGTTCCATCACATCTGGTGGGTACTAGTATATTTTTCCGAGTTAATTTCCCCCCGCATCCCTAGCGTTCCCAGCCTCCCACTTCTAGCCCCGCCCACTTCCCCCCCCCAGCTTCACGTCCTCTCTTCCCCTAGCGCTCACGCAGCACCTCCTCATCCCCCTACCCCACACCCCCCCCTCTCTCTCCCCCCTTGCTCCTCCCCCCCCCTTTCTTACCTATATAACCTCTTGCCACGGCAGCTCTCTCACCCACTGCATTGACATTGTTGCTGCATTGCTGCTACATTGGCATTGTTGCTGCATTGGCATCGTTGCTGCATTGGCACTCGTGCACCGCCCATGCTCCTGGTGCTGTTGATACACTTGGGCTACGCCCATCCCCAAACCTTGATAAAACAGTTTGCCTTTAGAGGCTGACTCCTTTGCCTGATGACGACCGCTTGTGTTGCGATCGAAACGTCATGATTTGTTTGATTTTATTTCTAACTATGTGACTTTACCGAAAGAACCAAAAAGTGTGTCTAGTTCCGCCGTAGCGTGGTTAGTTGGGTGGTCACCACCCGAAAAAATGTTGTGTCAATAGCTTGGAGTGTGTTGTGTTAATAGCCCTGGAGTATGTTGTGCTAAGTTAATAAACATGTTGCTCCCAAGACAATGTCTGCGACTCAGTTGGACTCACTACACATACAATGAAGCCATGAATTTCGAGCAGCGCATGGAATGCACAAATAAATTATCCTCACAATGTTAAAATGTAAGCTACCCAATTTGCAGATACAGTTGACTCTCGATAATTTTCTGCGCTAATGACGGTGAGGATGCCCGCGGATAATAAAAAAATAAAAACAAATAAAAAAAAACGCAAATAATAAATAAATATAAATTTCCCACGGATCTCTGCCAAAAGCACACCAAAATACAAAATACATTCATGCACATATATGATTTAGCGGTTTTGGTACAGGGTTACCCCAACTTTGGGGTGTTCATGTTTGAATGGGGAGTGATACTCGTAGCACACTTACTGCATTTTGTACTGCGCTGTGTACTGTGTTGTGTACTGAATTATGTACTGGGTTGTGTATTGTGTTGTGGACTGTGTTGGAACACAGACCCCGAGGAGGCGGAAACCTTCCAGCTGGAGGTGAGCGGTCTCATGGCGGAGCTGTGCTGCCCGTACCCGGCGCTCACCACTGGTGACGCCACGAAGCGACTGAGCTCGGCCCAGCCCTGCCTGCAGCTCCTCTGTAAGCAGCACCCACGTGGTGGAAAGGCAATTGCCCCACTCAAATAGGTGGGAGTGCAGCAAGAGATGCGAGAGCTATAGGTGATGGACAAGAGGGGTGGGAGGTAGGGGACATGGGGAAGGCAGATATTGGCCTAGGAAGTCGGAAAGATAACTATTAAATAACCACATGAAAGGATAATGATTAAATAGAGAGCAAGCGTAAAACAAAGAGAGGTCCTTCTGGTTATAAACAAAGAGTGGGGATTGGGACGGGGTGGGTTGGGGGATACAGAAGAGATAAGCTGCATGGCTGAGGAGGAAGATACAAAGGAGAGGGGTGAACAGTGAAGAAAGGGTTGGCACTGGAGGTAGAGAAGGTGAGACCACACTGGTGGGCAGGCATTGAGTTAGCAGAGGCATGGCAGTCGGGCGTAGCACATCACTGTCTCCCTCCTTGTAGTGTGTTACCGTGTCCCTCACTGCCGCGCACAGTGTTCCTCGCGACGGAGCTGCAGGCAGCGCGCGTGCTGAGGGCAAGGCAGGCGTCCCAGCAGGCACCGCCAGCGCAGGGAGAGCTCAGCGTTGAGCTCGGAGCCATCTGCTGCTGTCTGGAGCTGGGGGAGCAGCCGGTGGCTGACGATTCCGCGTGCATCTTCACCCCTATCCAGGACAAGGTGCATGCTCTAGTGTACAGGTTGTGCACCGTCGGCATTATGGGCTACGGTTTCTGCAGACCACCCCCGAGGTCTGCAATAAATGAATGAAATCAGTTGCAATAGGTGGGCAAGCAGAGAGCAATTCTAAGAATATTCATTGTTGTGCTGTGCATCTATGCTCCCCTGTCTATGCTCCCCCGACTTCACCGACCCGCAATGACCAGCATGGTAAAGTCATGTCATGTAGGCATAACTTTGCGCTGCCATGAAGTCTACTTCTACATATGTATTGTTTGTTGGGGAGGTGCATACACTGTATTTTAATTACCATAGACATCTTATATTTAGCTTTGCAACTTTAAATTACTTTTGAAGCCAACAACCATCCAGTGTGGTCAATTATGGTATAATCGCCAAAATCATCATGGCTGATTATAATTTAGGGATCCTGGTTTAAGAAGCACAACCATTCTAAGTCTGTGCCAAATATGCACTCTTTTATTTCCATGTGTCTTGATGCTCATGGCCATGTAGATGGCTCAATGGTTCATGGCTGTGTGGACACAGAAGTGGCACTGCTGAGGTGTTGGATTCAGTATGAAAAAGGAATCTCCGGTGTCGCGACGAGATTTTCCAAATACAATTACCGCAGTCTGGCTCTAAGCATAAGTTGGTACGTCTATATTTGTAGGGCGAAATTTGTTAATTTCTTCAATTGATAAGACGGAGCAAAGCAATTATTTGTCTTTAAGAGCTGAAGAGTGTGTAGGTTAGTTTTTTTGTATTTAGTCCATTAATGGTTGAGAAGGCTGATAATTTTGCCTCTTGGTTGGTCCACAAAGAACTCGGTTTTCATGTCTGTACAGGCACCCAGAATGGGTGACTGTTTTTTATCTACTTAAGTGCTCATAAGACAAAAATGAAGAACATTTATAGCATTTCAGGAAGGCGTTAAATCCTATGTCAGCTGATTTGACGTGACTAAGTCATCCAATTCAAGAGACTGTTTTTGTTTTTTTCCAGGAGTCATGTGAACCCATCACTATTACATGTATGAATCAAAACGATCAATGTGAACAAATGAGCCACCTTCATGGGCATCTTCTTTGTGGACAAGCACCCCTGGCTTTGTGTTAGCGACTATACGTAAACTTCATGTGCTATAAATTTTCACTTATTATAATTATTCTTAGCTCTTTCGGTAAAGTCACGTTGAAGGGAAACAATAAAATATATATAAAACAATAAAAATTATCACGACGTTTCGACCGTAACACAAACGGTCGTCATCAGGTGTGAAAAGCAACGACAAGAAACATTTGGAAGAAGTGGCGGTCTGCATTTATTTATTTATTTATTAAACGGTGCATTTATTTAAAAAACGTTTGCGCCACGAGCAGCGATTTGGCAGTTTGTTTAGAAGGACGAGTCCATCTATGTTCTCAAAAGAGGGGGGAGACGAAAAATTAATGTATGCTGTCTGAAAGCCACCGTAAGCGTGAACAATCAATTAAGACATGAAATGGTTTATCAAATCCTTCCAATGATTGTTAAGCCAGAATCCATCTTCTTGGTTGAAATTGTCTCTGTGCTTGTATATGTGGATAGCCTCATGAACGAATCTCTCATGGTAGCCAGATGGCTTACAAAGAACCTCTGTCTTGGAGAAGTCAATGTCATGTGAGCCTACTGAATTATAACAATGATCTGCCACGGCCGAGGTGTTGGTCCTACCGTGTTTGAGGTCTGCTTTGTATTCACGAATGCGGTCCGAGACATGGCGTTTGGTTTCTCCAATGTAACTACTACCACAGAGGCAACTTAGTTTGTAGACGCCAGGGTACTGTATGTCCGGAATCACATCTTTTACAGATGGAACCAGATCACGGATTTTATGTAATGTGTTGAAACGGACCTGGATCTTGTGTTTATTCAGGATTTTGGAGATCTTTTTTGTGATCCCCGCAATGTAGGGTAAGGTGATGGTTTTGAAAGGCTCCTCAAGAGGGTCCTTCATGGTTTGTAAGCCATCTGGCTACCATGAGAGATTCGTTCATGAGGCTATCCACATATACAAGCACAGAGACAATTTCAACCGAGAAGATGGATTCTGGCTTAGCAATCATTAGAAGGATTTGATAAACCATTTCACGTCTTAATTGATTGTTCGCGCTTACGGTGGCTTTCAGACAGCATACATTAATTTTTCGTCTCCCCCCTCCTCTTTTGAGAACATAGATGGACTCGTCCTTCTAAACAAACTTCCAAATCGCTGCTCGTGGCGCAAACGTTTTTTAAGTAAATAAATGCACCGTTTAATAAATAAATAAATGCAAACCGCCACTTCTTTCAACTGTTTCTTGCCGTTGCTTTTCACACCTGATGACGACCGTTTGTGTTATGGTCGAAACGTCGTGATAATTTTCATTGTTTTATATATATTTTATTATTTAATTGTTTCCCTTCAACGTGACTTTACCGAAAGAGCTAAGAATATGAATTACTGCAGTCACGAAAGCTTTAAATCAAAATGTATTATAACTATTTTATGCATGTATTGTGAGCTCAACAATTGATATTAACAAACAAATCTTGAATATATGCAACATCATGGGACCAGTTCTTATAAGACCAGTCGTTATGAACTCTTGTATGAAGCTGATTGTGGTAGTTGGTGCGCGATTTCCCATGCTGTCACTGGTATGCAGGTGGTGCAGGTGCTGGGCAAACTCCCAGGGGCCACGATGGAGAAGCCTCTCCTGCAGGCCGAGCTGTCACCCCCACAGTGGGCACGAGCTACACCACACTCGCACCACACACACCATTCACATTGCTAACCACACACACCATTCACATTGCTAATCACACATTCACACATTGACCACACACTACTCACACCGGTCACACATGACACCACTCAACCAGTCAATGCTCACTCACTTGACACACACTTATCACTCACATTGTTCCCCCACCAATCACCACACACACACCACACACACCACACACGTACTCATCACACATACACACTCATCACACATACACACCAAACATCCACTCACCAAAACACACACCACTCACACCATACCTTTAACACCCTCATGCCACTCACACAACTTCCTGTGGTGGTGTAGTGGTGGTTACTTGGTTGTAATGTAGGATTGTGGTAGAGAGTAGTGGCTGTATGGAGGTTGTGGTGTGGCTATTGAGAAATGGCCTTTAATATAGGCTATTGTGATGTTGTGTAGTGTTAGGTGGTTTGGTTGTTTGGGGATTTGGTGGTGGTGTAGTGGCATATTAATTGTATGGAGATGGTGTGCAGGTGGTGTGTTGATGTTGTGGTGGTATGGTGGTAATGTGATGTAGTGTGTGGTGGTGTATCATACTATGGTAGGTTGTGTTGTATGGCAGCGTCATGTGGTTGCATGGTGGTTAGTGCACTTCTACAATACTAGTAGTGTACGTTTAATACCTGTGTGCAAACTACTGTCGGGGCTAATAGTGCAGGCTTTTTTTCTGTATGTGCGTGTTGTTTTCAGGAAAGGCTGGAAAACATTAATCAAGTGATGCTCAGCGAGTATGAACTGCGGAGGAAGATGTTGCTGAAGCGTCTTGACGTCACAGTGCAGTCCTTTGGCTGGTCTGAAAAGGCTCAGGTATGGAAAGACTGAACGAACATGAGCTGGACTATTGCCATCACTCATGCTCCTCTACTGATATCTCTTGTGCTGACCTCAACGATAAACACTCCTGAGAAATGGCCTTTAATTACCACTCTGTCGACACCGCACGATGTGTTTATCCAGCTGCTGCTTATTCAGCTTCAACAAAAAAGTGGCTGAAGTTAAAGTTTTCTTTCCATTCTCAATTACATTGCAAACACATGGTGCTAATTTCACACCTGCAGTCGTTTCTCTGTGAACAATGAAACAGTCATGCAGTTGACCAACAGTACACTTGAGTGCCATATTTTATCTCTGATGGGAGACGCATATTCACACTTTCCTATCTGGTGCCAACCCTGAGCACGCTAGTTGTGAGAAACAACTTGAACACGGGTGGCTGCCCAGCATGCACACCCAGCACACCAGCGGTGGTGGCCTCTGTCCGTCTGTCTGGCACGTAAACAGACGCACGTGGACTCGGTGGCACGTGCGTACGTGCCCAAGCGCGCCGCCCTGTCCCCACGGCCGTCCGTGTCGCTGGCCCACGTGCTGGCGGCGCGCGCCGACCTGTCCCGCATCGTGAAGACGACGGGCGGCGATGTGCGCGCACACACGGCCTGCTCCATCAACAAGGTGCTGCCAGCACTCCCCTTGCCGTTTCAACTTGTTGTTCACTTCCAAACCTCCAAATTGATAAGGCATCAATTTGGAGGTTCTCTCGAATGGTTTCCCAGTTGTCACCGCCAGTTCCTCTTTCTGCCTCTCGGTGTAATTCCAGGCATGTGCAGACTGAAGAGCACACGATTTAGAGAAAACACGCATCAGGTTAATGACATCATCTGAACCATTAGGAACTGAGCTTGGACAGGATAAGTTACTTGTAGGGATGATGGGAATATGGTCAAGAATATTGCTGGGTGCCAGTCGAAGACTGGAGTGCGTCTGAAAGAAGGTCCACCGTGGTGATAGAGCGATGAGATCGGTTTGTGTGTTTGTGGGAGGATTCTTACATCGCAGGTTGGTGAGAGGTGGCGGCTTTTTGAGGCCTTCATCCAGCAGTGGATTGACCATGGCTGATTTTAATGACCATTGGCAGTAGCTGCATTTCTGTAAATATTTTTGGTTTTGCAATTCTTTGCAAGTTAATTACTTGTTAACAAAGTAATAACTTTAAATAAAACAAAAATGAATTTCAATAAAAACATATTTTGTATTCTATTACTTTATATTATTTGGGTCTTTCGGTAAAGCCACGTAGATAGAAAAATATAAAATCAAAATATCACGACGTTTCGATCGCAACACAGGCAATCGTCATCAGGTGAAAAAATATAGCGGGAGAGCTGCTGAGGCAGGAAAAATATAGCGGGAGAGCTGCTGAATTAGGATGTTATATGGGTTTGAAATGGGTGTAGCGGAGCTAGAGATGTAATTTGCGTGTAAATTTAAGATCGGAGAGCTGATATACCTCCACTACTACGAAGCTGTGGAGGTGGCCATTGTATTATGAGAGATTAGCATGTCAATCTGTTAATGTAAGATTACAATGGCCACCTCCACAGCTTCGTAATCGTGGAGGTATATCAGCTCTCCGATCTTACATTTATGAATTCCTGCAGTCACGAAAGCTTTAAGTCAAGATTTCTTTATATAGTTTAAAAATCTAAATGGGAAGGAAATATGTTGGAGTAGACAGACAGCCTGCTTAATAACTTAGAGTAGCAGTAAACTGCAAATCAGACCGAGCTTTTATACTCGTCTCATAATATACTGTAACATTCCAAATAACCACAATCATCTGCAAAATCCTGTACTTCGCAGATTTCGCACGGTTCACGACTACTCCCAAAATCCATGGAACTATTGAATTCTGCATGGAGTGGCATAGGAGTTTGCACACAGCTTCATGATCCCAGCAATGCAGCATTCAGTTCAAGCCTTGCAAACCACAATGCACAATTGACATATGACCCTCGCCTGGGCTTTGACGTAAAAATAGTACTGGGTGCGCTGTGTCAACAGACAGATATCTGTGGTGCAGGTTCGAATAGCTGCTTGGTGGAGTCACTCATTTCAGGCATCTCTCCATGGTACAGGCATAGCCCGTTTTACGCCCAGGATGTGTTCCTGAAAACCAGAACGTCAATCGAAAGAGCACTTAAATCAAAGCAATGAGATGGGTTGTGGATCATAACCTGGTATAGAACCTAAAAAGGACACTGATTAACTCATTGCGCATCTCTGCTGTACATTCACCGGTGTGAAAAGTAAGTATATTATTGATATATTAAGATATACAGTGGTACCCCGGAGATCGAACTTAATTCGTTCCAGGTCATTTGAACACCAATTTGTTCGAACACCGAATTAATTTTCCCCATAAGAATGAATGTAAATGACATTAATTGGTTCCAGACACAAGAAATCTCTCATTATAAAGTATTTTTACACGAAGTTTACAGTAATTACATGCATAGAATCATACAAAAAATCAAGAAACACAATAAATGGAATACATGAATAAATATATGGAATAAATGAAATAAATTAACATTGAACTTCACTTTATCTGTAGCAAGGAGAGTTGATGGCTTGAGTGGAAGGTGGTGAGGAGGTGGTGGTGTTGTTATTTTTTAGAAGTGGAGTCCCCTTTGTCTGGGCAAGCGTCATGCACGCTGCTGCCACCACGCTTCTCAGCCGTGTACAGGTTCTTTCAAGTCGCGATTTCCGGTTCGACCTCCGAATTTCGTTCGGTTTCTGGGGCAAAAAATGTACGGAAATACTAAATATGGTTCGAACACCGATTTGTTCGAGTTCTGGTGCGTTCGATCTCCGAGGTTCTACTGTATATCACCTTGTCTATTATACTATATGTATTAGTTTATTATATCAAAATAGTTTTACACTTGTATACATGGTGTCTGACCAGCTGGTTGTGCCTCAGGCTTGTTTTATCTGGGCCGGCCCTCTAGCTGCTACCGTAGGCACACACCAGGCTCAGCATCCCTGGTGAGTCGGGACAGTCAGCAGCTGCCAACGCCGAACCCCAGGCGGCGGTTAACTAACCCGGAAAACTCTGCTTGTCTGAGCCTGGGCATGTGGAACTCCTGGTGGAGGAAATTCCATCAAAAGGGTCTTTAGACGTTCCACTGCAACCAGGACCATCTCCAGTCGTCTTGACTACGTCTTTCCACTGGGTACAGATGGGGCTGGTCGAGAGAGTGAGGTTGACGCTGCGCAAATCACCCTCACTTAATTCCAAGTTCTTTGCGCAATTCATGGCACTTTACCATCATCATTATCCAAGTCCTGTGGCGATGGGCGAGTGACGAAGCAGCAGGCACGGATATGCTGGAAGCTGTAGCCGCAAACCTGCACGCAGGCGGCTCAGGATATTGGTCGTTCCCTCACTGGACCAAAGCAGCAGTGAAGTCCGGCAGCACGCTGAGTGACTGAGCAGCCCTATTCAGGATCACACTGCTCACCTCCATAGTGAGGAAAGGGTTAGAAAAGGTACCCTAAACATTGCCTGCTTCAAAACATCCTGGCCAGCCTACCGCAGTTGGCGGGATCCCATACCTGCGGTCGAAAAACAAATAGAATGAAAAAAACCAAAGTGATACCACTCACTGTTGGCGCCTGGAATGTGTGCACTTTGATGGACACATCCGGATCAAAGAGACCTGAGAGACGCACCGCCCTCGTGGGCAGAGAGCTAGCCAGATACAATGTGGTTGTTGCTGCCCTTAGTGAGACCCGACTGGCCAATACTGGACAGGTGACCGAAGTGGGTGCAGGTTACAAATTGTTCTGGAGCGGACGAGGCCAGGAGGAGAGACGTGATGCTGGTGTTGGTTTTGCAGTAAAAAACCACCTGGTCAACCAACTGGCAAGCCTATCCAAAGGTATAAACGACCGTTTAATGACCCTAAAGCTCCACCTATTGAGTAAAAAGGCCACCATCATCAGTGCCTATGCCCCTACCATGACCAACTCTGACGAGATCAAAACTAAGTTTTATAATGACCTGGAAGTCATTATTGCTGCCACAGCCAGCTCTGACAAACTCCTGATACTTGGTGACTTCAATGCCAGAGTTGGAAGTGACCATCAATCATGGAATGGAGTCATAGGTGCACATGGCATTGGAAAATGTAACAGCAACGGCCTTCTGCTGCTGAAAACATGCTCTGAATTTGATCTGCTCGTCACCAACACGATATTCCAACTACCAAAGCGCAAGAAAACTTCATGGATGCATCCTCGTTCACACCACTGGCACTTGATTGACTCCGTCATCATGAGGAGGAGTGACTACGATGTCAGGGTGACCAAGGCAATGTGTGGCGCTGAATGTTGGACTGACCATCGTCTCCTCTCCAAACTCAACATCCAGATTAAGCCTCCCAGACGCCCACAAGGAAAAAGACGTCTCAAGCATCTTAACATCACTCGCCTACAACAGGAACACACCAGACTGCCCTTTGTTGAGGCTCTAGACCATCACCTGGAGTCTCTAAGCTTCGAGCATACAGACGCTGAGGCAGACTGGACTGCTCTCAAGACCATGCATTCTACAGCCCTTGAATCACTTGGTGTTCCCATACGTACAATCACTTGGTGTTCCCATACCTACGCTGAGAGTAACAACACCAAGTGCCTCTATGATGCACTCAATCAGGTCTATGGTCCACAATTCTCAGGAACTTCACCTCTCCTGAATGCAGATGGAACAACACTCCTCACAGAGAAGGACAAAATACTTGCAAGGTGGGCTGAACACTTCAGCGCAGTCCTCAACCAGCCATCGTGCATAAATGAGGAGGCAATTGCGAGACTGCCTCAAGTTGAAATAAACCAGTCCCTTGCTGTTCTACCATCCATTGAGGAAACCAGCAAAGCCATAAGCCTCCTCTCATCAGGCAAAGCTCCAGGGTCCGATGCCATTCCCGCGGAAATCTAGAAGGCTGGAGGGCCTCGCTTAGCCGAGAACCTGACCGACCTCTTCCAGTCTCTGTGGAAATTAGAAGCCGTTCCCCTGGAGTTCAAGGATGCCTCTATAGTCCATCTCTATAAGAGTAAAGGCAATCGGCAGGTCTGCGACAACCATAGAGGCATCTCCATATTATCAATCGCTGGCAAAATCTTGGCAAGAATCCTTCTGAACCGCCTAATTGTCCACCTAGACCAGGGTCTGCTACCTGAGAAGGTGGTTTCAAGGGATCTCCGATATACATAGGGGTTGGGGACTGGAAAGTTGTGACTTTTAACGAAACAATTTATAATGGGGACTTTTTCCCCATCGGAATACATGGAAATGGGGAGGGGATAGCGACCGTAAGAGCGTAAACATTGCCTTTGCGATGCAAAGTTGGGCAATATCTCCCACAACAAGCAATGGAATTAGGTAGGAATAAGGGACCATACCTAAGGGAAATGTTGTGTTTCATAACGAGCAACTACAATACGTACCTTATGTACAGAAAACCAGGTACTGTACATGCACTATACTGTACAACACAATGTATACATTTATAACCAATTCTGAGTTCAAGAACCGTTAAACAGCATTGATACTGATCAAACACTTAATTTAAAACCATTTTTATGAGCATTTAGATGCAGCCCTGTACACTTGAAAAATTTTCCTTCATTAATATAAAAGTATTTGTTAAAATTTTAAGCAGTGACTCAAACAGAAAACCATTTTTAGTATAAAAAAGCACAATCCTATACAGCATTTTAAAAAAATGTCTTGACCTATGATTTTTATGATCTTACCTTGCGAAATGGATGAATTGCATTGTAGGGTTGCGACAATATTTGGCGACAAAGTCCGCGCCGATTACAAAGAGCACACTCGGTACACGCGCGAGAGAACACGATGAGACTTAATAGATGGTGGTGCTTGGCGCAAGTTGTACAGTACTTATACACCCCCCACCCAGAGCCGACTTCAGTCGAGTCGAAAATGATAATCGGAAACTATAATCGTCACTGGTATTGGCCGTGAGCGGCAATTGAAGTCGGCGCGCCGGGCTCGTAGCGCAGCACGCTAACCGCTACACTCCCGCGCACAAATGTTTTCGACTCAAAAACGACGTAAATTCGGGGACATTTGACGTGTTCCTCAAAAAGTCGGCTTTGTGAGTGCGAAACAGCTTATATCGAGACAACGTATATTGGGGACCCCCTGTATGTGGTAAAGAAAATATGAATCAAGAACACAGGAAAGGCTAGCCAGTCAGAGATGCTAATGCTTGGGCTCCATCTGGCACCATAAAACGTAAAAAAAACGTGGGGCTTCATGCTTAAGTTTGAAAATGTCGATTACGTTATGGCGGGGTACACAGAACGTTCAACGGAATTGGGCATAAATAACTTGGGTACGTTACAGCAAAATTACGTAAACTGGGAGGGTGTAAATCAGCATGATACTGGATGTTGGTGCTCATCTGTTCGTGTGTGTGTGTGTGAACCATGTGCTGTGCAGGTGCTCATGGGACGGGTCCCCGACAGGGGGGGCCGTCCCCGGGAGATGGGCCCTCCCGCTCCCGACATGCCCTTCTGGCAGAAACGGCAGAACGACCCACGCGGAGGCCGTGGTCGAGGAGGAGGCGGCGGTTGGCAGGGGGGCAGCCGGGGGGGCCAGGGTGGGGGCCAGGGTGGGTGGCAAGGCGGTGGCTACAGTGGTGGCCGTGGGGACTGGGGTGGGGGTGGCCGTGGAGGGCGGCGTGGTCAAGGCAAATGGTGACGTCACTGAAGCTTGCCATGAGCATGCACCACGCTCCGTTATTGCGTGGAATTTTTTTATTTTTTCAAGAGTACCACTTTTGATGAATGATCAGCTTGGGTATTTTAATACCACTATAAATTAAAATTGCTACCCTTTAATATAGTTCACACGATGCTGGTAAAGTGAGGCTGGTATACAAATTACGACTAATTTGAGGACCCCTTGTGCAGAGAAGTATTTTTTTTGTTGCATTGGAACGAGGGGGGGAGTGGTTACGGGAAAAATAAGTGCAAAAAGTCAGAGACGTCAACGATGGTTATGCAAAAATTTAGTTCGCCCTGCATCCCTTGTATAAACTCCTAGCCGGGTGTGCTGGGTTCATCACGTGTGCGATTCCCTCCCCGTTTATCCAAAGTCAATTGTAAGACATTGCAAGTGTTTCCCAGACGATATATTTTAAAATATTTAGCTGGGCAATGTGTGTTTTTACATTTTCTCCTATCCTGCACACATTTCTTTTAGAGGCTATCAGAATGTTTTTTTTTTATGTTGGCTTATTATATAAATTATTCTTCCATACGAAAGAAGATTAGAAAATTGTGAAGTCATAAATTAATTTACTATTGGAGACGTTTCTTATACACTGCAAAATCTAATTGAATCACATTTAACAAAGTCGATTTCTTTTATATTTGGATTCTTTTGAGTTATGACTGTGATTAAGTGTGGCCTGCGTTTGTTGTATTTTTTTAAAAGATCACTCCGTTGTAGTTGTTCAACATTAAGGTACAGTCTATTTCAGTGTTATGCGAATGATCAAGTATTTGCTGCTGTTGAATGGCTGTAGAGAACTGAACCATTGTTTTTCGCAGCATATAAAAGCATTGTAAAGTTAGGCCCTAATCCACTGTGCTTGCCCTTAGTTGTGCTTTGTGTACTGAATGGAGTACACCGACACACAGTAAAGCCTCCTCGTGCTGGGCAGGACGACAGCACTCGGTAACAGATCTTTGGTCAGTTCATGTCCGCACCGTTCATTTAACCAAGTGAGAGCATGTACAGATTAAAGTACTATTGTTGAAGGATATGGAAATGCTTTCATCCAACAGTGGACTGATTATGGCTGGTGATAATTTAGAAAATAGGTAGTCATTTTAAGTGGGAATACTATTTTGCAGTTGAATATTTTGTATTTAATGTGTGCCAACACTTGTAGATAAACAGCAAGACTGCTGTGATCTCTGACATCCACGATACAGCAGAGTCACTTTGCTCTCGGAAATAGACAGGGCACTGGAGGAACTGAACGGCCAACTGCAGCAGGGGTGGCACAGTGCCTGGGTTTGATTCTCGACTCGGATGCCTTTCTGCGTGGAGTTTGTATGTTCTCCGCCTGTTCTGATTTTTTTCTCTCCGAGTTCTTCGGTGTTATCCTGTCGCTAAAATATACTGGTATTGGCCAAACATCCCAATTCTGAAAGATTCTATTAAGATTATTCAATGGGGATTTCACAACTTGGTAGGACACTCCTGAATAAGAATTGAGACTCGTTGAAACTTTCCTGGGTAAACAGGCATAAATAAATACTAAGTAAACTTTTATTTCACCAGGTAAAGCCCACTTAGCTATGTTTTCAGAAGCGATCTGGCCACAAACGAAAGCTGAAGTGGCTTATCACGTATAAATTTATCGCAGCCAAATATTCTAAACTTGTTTTTAAATATGGAGGGAAAAACCAGAGGACCCGGAGAAAAATCCACACGACTACTGGGAGAACATGCAAACTCCAAAAATATAGGCGTCAGTGTCGGGATCGAACCCACGACCTCCTGTATACCAGGCAAGGTAGTTAACATGTCACCACTGTGGTGCCACATTGCGTCAGTGAAGAGTCTTGACCACTGCTGTGAGCCACGGAATACAACAATGTGAGATCTTTGACACATCTTAATGTTGCCAACAAGTTTTGTCTTCAGTAAGAGGGCATAGATATTGTCTCTTGTATTCTGTCAACAGAACCTGTAGGCAGGGTATGAACAACTGTCGGAAATTGAATATCTTAAGTATTATCACCTGAAATGAGTAAAGCTCTTAGAGGGGCGTCGTGAAGAACTGTTCACAACAGTTGAAACCTTCGTTCAAGCAGAGTTTGGCGACATTCTTGTTAGTGTGACAGTAAACCCTATGCACACGGGGACGATGCTTGCAAGTAACGTTTCCTTGAAGCTGTGCTTCAGAAGGTCAGGTTGCTGTTCATCTCATTCTAAGTGAATTTCTTAGGAGCACCATTAGAAGACCTGCCTAATTCATTCAATAATGTTCCAGGTTTTATTCCCACCCCATACACTTGTAAAACCGTTATTTTCATCTCTATTGTTGCGTGGTTTCTCCTTGGTGTGATCATTATTTAATTAAAGAAATAATTATTTCACACTGCTACAAGAAACAATCATGGTTATGCATTTTTTTAAAGCTGAATTGTGTAAAGACATCTCAACAGTGTTTCTATGATTTATCTGATGTTTTCCAAATTAACATTAAACATGCAAAGTGCATTCCTTATTGGCTCGACCATTTATTTGTACCCATGCCTTGGCTTGCAATCGGAATTTCTGGAGGAGTTTGACTTTGCAGAGGAAGAGAGATGGTGAGGATAGTTTGGGTTATAATATGAAACTAGCTCTAGTAGCTGCACAAGAATAATTTAAGCCCAAAATCAATGGCAATACTTAGTTTGTTGACAACGCCGAGTCTGGATCACTCGGCAAAGTCCCATTAGCCGCCTGAGCCACTCAAACACTTCTCAGATGTTTTGCCTCGTTTGGTCACAGTTGCGTTTTGATATCCTGGTTTGCGAGCAACTCTTTCTCTAGAGAGGTCTGGACTCGCAAGCAGGTGTAACAAAAAAAAACCCCACAATACTCCTGTAGCATATGATGCAAAAGCATGACTTTAGCCACAATAGTGACTTATCGTACACAAGGGTGATGTGCTGCTGTAGTCCAGACAGGCAGGATACAGGATAAACATGCACATGCAGTGTTTGACACCTGCTGTTATCACACACTTTCAAGGTGCTTTGTCCGAGGGTATTTTTAAATGTGACGCTTATTGTATTTTGTTTGTTTTTAAAATGTATTTTGTTATGAAGGTCGATATTTGGCATAATAAAGTACGATTATAGTTTGAGAGCATGGTTTATTTTTAATGATTTTACTCATGCAGGACTATAAAGACAACACATTGCTAATCATACACAATATATCTATCCACTGTTGGATAAAGGCTTTCCCAAGCTGTCGCCATCTCTCATACCACACAACACGAGTTATCTAATACCATCAGTCACTAGAACCTAGAGTGTTGCACGAGTATGGCACGTGTGTGAACTATCGAAAAAAAGACGTCACATCATCAATCTTACCCGAGTGTATGACAGGGACTTCCACAGTAAGTGTGTGAAATGGGGAGAGAGTTCCACAATGAGTGTGTAAGAAGGGGAGAGAGTTCCACAGTGAGTGTCAGATGGGAAGAGAGTTCCGCAGAGAGTGAATGTGGGAGTGAGAAACAGGGAGAGAGCTCTGCGCTAGGTGTGATGTGAGATGGGGACGGAGCGCGCCGCTGCTACACGGCGAGTGGCGAGATTCTCTCGAGCTGCAGCTGGAAGCCCGTGGTGGAGCGGGTGACGATGCGCGGCACGGGCAGCGCCTCCACGGGGCCCGGCAGCACGCGGAACCGCGAGAGGATCAGGGCGAGCGTCACGCGCAGCTCGTTCATGGCAAAGTGCTGCCCAATGCAGTTGCTGGGGGCGGGGGGGGGGCACGCAGGGTGAAGGGAGTTGTGGTCACAATCAAAATTTTATCATCGCTAGCATTAGCAAATGTCAACCGTGAAAGTGGTCTGTAGTAGAGCCGTGCTGTACAATTATGTGGATAGGTTCCAGCTCTCAAAATAAAACATTGCTGTGGCTGTAATGCGACAAATAATGAATACGGGGCACGCAGCGCTCTGCGAGAATATTTGTGCATAACGATGCAAGTGCAGCACCACTCCTCTTGTGTAGTGCCATCGCTCCCTACAGATCTCATTGTACAGAAAGTTATATTTTTACATTGAGTTTTAATGTGATGGCTCTTTGATTGGCAGATCTAAGCCAGAAAGGTGCCACGCGTGTAAGCAAAAAATAAAATAACTTGATTTGACGGCTCTCCACACTCACTCATCCAGGCAAAACAAAGATCCCCTATTATATCCTTAAATAGACTTAGGGAAACTGCTGTGCTGTTAGCGAGCAGGTGGATCACCAGCTACACGCAACTGCCTTTGTCTCCCCAGTAGCGATAGTTACTGCACCAGGTGCTCATTTGAGGCTGAGTCGACTTAGCGGAGCCACAAAACCTGTTCAGTTAATTGTCACCAGTGTTGGCCGTGAGGGCGAATCGAACTTGTGTTGCAGGGTTCGTAGTGCAGCACACTAACCGCTGTGCCACAGCTCCCCACCCATCCAGGGCAGGCACCGACACTATCACCCATGCAGGCTTCAGACACGTTCACTGCTTTCATAATAATAATCAGTTTATGCTTGGTTATGCTTGGAACCTCTGTGGTCTCACGAATCAGGAGGCGATGTTCTTCCTGTGTGTAATCGCCAATTGAGTAATTTCTAGGTAAGATGTTTCAGCCTTGGGATGTTTGACCAGTGTCAGGTACATTGTGTCGTTATTTTTTTGTCCTGAGTCTGGAATTAAACCCAGGAACTTCTTGCTGCAAAGCAGAAGTGTTACCACTACGCCAGTGTGACTTACTTTAGGTAAAAATGCGCAGTCTTTTTTAAAAAATCAACTGTCGGATGAAGGCTTCATTGGAGTGGGGGAAGTTATTTAACAATGCTTCAACACACTAGCCAACGTAGGTTGGTGAAGGGGAGAAGGGGACAGGTATGGTTTATTCTTGATTTTAAGCTTTCGTGACTGCAGGAATCCATACGCTTTGGTTCTTTCGGTAAAGTCACGTAGTTAGAAATAAAATAAAACATATCTTCAACCGAGAAGATGGATACAAATTGAGCAATCATTGGAATTATGTTATTAACCAGGTAAAACCTTAACTGTTTATGGTTGTTTCCATCATATCTGCCGGGTACTATATTTTTCCGAGTTAATTCCCCCCCTCGCATCCCCAGCTTTCCCAGCCTCCCACTCCCCCCCCCATTGGCCTCACGTCCTCTCTCCCCCTAGCGCTCACTCAGCGCCCCCCTCCCCCTACCCCCTCCCCTCTCTCGCTCTCCCCCCTTGCTCCTCCCCCCTTTCTTACCTATATAACCTCTTGCCACGGCAGCTCTCTCGCACACTTCTGCTATTTTTTTCTTGCTGTGGTTGTTACACCTGACGAAGGTTGCTTGTGTTGCAATCAAAACGTCGTGATTTGTTTAATTTTATTTCTAACTACGTGATTTTACCGAAAGTACCAAAGAGTAGGTATAGTTTATAACTTCCCATTGCCAATTATTTTATTCGTGTTCGGGAATCGAACTTGGGTTTCTGGGTTTGTGTGCAATGCGTTAACCACTGCCCCATGGCTCGCCCCCCCCCCATGTCCCTTGCAGGCTGATCGCGTCGTGGGGTTTCATAGTTCGCGTCGTAACGGCCCGAGTTTGCCTGTGGAGACGGTGACGGTGAGCAGGAGGGTTTAACGCTCACCGGGGCCCGGCTGAGAAGGGGATGAACGCGTAGGGGTGGCGATTGGCTGCGTTTTCAGGAGAAAATCTCAGAGGGTCATAAACCTGCAGGCAGATGCACAGGCGAATGAAAATTACATTGACACATCCAGTGACTTCATGTGCACGCGTACGCACACACTGATCACCACCTCCATCTCCATTACCCTGCTGGGGAAAGTTCTCTCAGCGAGCATCTATTATTAAGTTAACAGCGGGTTGGTATAGAACTCCATTCCCAGCCATCTAAGTGTTAGGACGCCGACACATGATCCTTATGGTGGTACCCCGGGGTACCAAATAATAAAAAATGGCCGAGGTAATTAAATATTTTATTTCTGGGACACTATTTTTTCCAGGGTTGTACTTAACTCCCCGACTGGGGTACCAATCAATCCGAAATCAGTGCTACTCCACGATGTCGAAACGCCTACTTCCTTCAATATCAATATGCATCCTATTTTCAATAACTCTGTAAGAGAGGCGTAAGTGCAAAATCGTCAAATTTGCATTGTATTTATTATTCAAAATCATTAAAATATCCTAAAATTGTCATGCTCTGTCTATATTTGTTTCAGAAGGAAGGAATGTGAACACGGACAAGACAATCTTCATGTCGAGGCTACGAATGTATTGAATCTGCACGTGCAGGTCAAATACAGAGGCCAGGTGAGTGCAGTTCACACATGCGACACTGCCATAGTTCAATGAAGCAGCGTGCACACTCGGAGGTTGGAGACAAACCTCTGGGTCCTTCCAGAACTCTGGGTTTCTGTGCAAGCAGTAGATGTTGATGAAAACTCGAGTTCCTGCACGTTTGCACAGCACAGGGGGTGGGAGGCAAAGATAAATGAACGTAGAGTTGCTAAAGTTTTCCAAAATGTGTAGTCACACAGCTCCCCATCATGGTGAAACTGAGAATAGAACCACGTGGGCCAGGGGTCTGCGACTCCAGACCTTGTTCCGGAAGTCCAGATGGAGTGAAAGAGGCAAAGAAACAAAGATGCTGCGATGCCACTTTAAGGGATGGTACGTGACACGAAGAACTTCAGGATTGGACAGCATGAGTCAAGGACCAGCCATTTAACAGAAGAATAAAGACACGTAAACTAAAGTATGGTATAAAAAATAAACCTATTATCAGATCATATTTTCTACCTACGTGACTTTACCGAAATAACCAAAGAGTATGAATGCATATATTATCAGAGTATGTTTTTGTTTGCATTCTGACCACAAGCATTGTGGTTAATGCAAGCATGATTCCTTGTAAAAGGTTTAAGTTTGGTGTTTTAACATCTTAACACCTGTTTTGTTGCCAGAAAAAAGGGGAAAAAGCTATTGTTATGCAGTATGGTAATTTAGTTTTTACAGTTATTCTAACCTACAAAGGTTTTATTAACTGGGACTCCAACCCACAACTCTTCGCCAGGACCCTCGTCCATCGCTCGCATCCCTCTCCCCGCGCCACTCACTCCACCGCCTGCCCACTCCCAATGTACCTTGGAGTTCGAGCGCGCTCCTGACTTGTAAAAATGTGGCAGCAGCCGTTGACAGAGTCGGCGCAAAGTGACAACAAACATGGGGCTGAAAGAAGAGTAGGTAAAGCGTTAGGATCTGTGGGAAGGCGTGGGAGGCTATAAATTTCAGCTTATTGAAGTTAGACCAGAGCCGAGGAGGCTATGAGCTAGGACCTGTGGGGATGACGCGCCCATCGCACAAGGTAATTGGTTTGCTCATCTTCCTGGAGATCGCGGGCACCGCGGCCTGCAGGCGCAGCGATTCCTTGATGCACATGGTGGTGTAGGACAGCTGGGAAAGGTCGTCCCTGCAAGGGGACACGCATGCACGGTGATTGCAGACCACAGTCCAACGTCAGTTTGTGTCCTGTGTTACCTCAGGTCTAAGTCAGCTGAAAATTGGGCATCGTGTTCGGGCTCAATGCCTGAACGCGAGTGTTGCTCTCGCCCACTGAGTTTCGCTGCCTGGCAATGTATATATTATTGTACACGTGGATTGCAAACAATGAAGAACAAAACGGCTTCCCACATTTTAAATGTTCTATATCATCAAATTGCTCCTGAATGTGAAAAGGGTAAAGGCGCAGCCCTGCAGTTTCTAGCTCACGCGACTGCTGGCAGAGCAGCCTCCAGGAGACGTGCTCTCGAGAGCCCTTCCAGGCCTTCTCTCTCACGATGACCAGACGTCTTGATAAAGGTTCCTTCGTGTAGACAAAAGTAGATATATGAAATGTTTCTCCATATCTGTGGTTCTAAAACCTGTGGGTCGTGCTCCCCTGGGGTGGCACAGGCTGTGGCATGGATACCGTGCAAGAAAAGTGCAGGAACTATTTCAAACGTGCACAGGGAATGTCAGTACCCTGTTGTGGTGACAAATTAACTCATGCACAACGTGAAATAAATGACTTAAGACACACAGACAAAGCATGAAATAAGTGCCTTATTAACAGTGGTCTTGATTTGGGGCACTATGTCAACAATGTTTATAACTTTTGCTCTAAATGAAGCAATCCAAGTAAATATTTAATCCAGGTGGTCCATTGACATTGACCCTGTAGAACAGATTCTGCTACTGCAAATATTGTTTTGGTCATAAGCCTCTAACAAGAAGGAAAAATTGATGGGTTGAGAGAAACACAATGAAATAAATCCAACTGATTCACAAAATCAGCCTGAAAACCATTTTCCTGGAGAGTTTCAGGAGTCATCTCCAGAAATAAGCTTTGTGTTCTCTTCACTTGAGAGCGTGCAGAGTGCTTTCCATGTCGCATCCCAAACCTCTCACCAGGTGAGGAAGGTTCGGCCTGCAAGCAGGCTTGTGACCTCGGCACGGCAAGCATCCTGGTGGTGAGGGTTGTGAGCCATGGCATTTAGGGCCCAGGCCAGGCCACTGGCTGTAGTGTCATGGCCTTCAAACATGAAGGTATCCACCTCGGCCTGTATGTCCTCCTCGGCCAGCCCATTGCCCTTGTCATCCTGAAAAGTGGGGAAGCCGGTCGTTGCAAATTATTATTCATACCCATTGTGACGCTACGTGCAACCGAGAGGCCACAATGTCCATGCCATCTTCGCTCTTCACGATCGGACACTCACCCGCACGCTGAGTAAGATGTCGAGGAAGTCAAGGTACCGCTTTGCTTTGATCTTCTCCAGTTCCTCTTCCCCAAGCAAGACCTCCTTGCGTTCTTTGATCACTTTAGCTGATTAGCAGTACACGTTTACACACGCACAAAAAGAACATTCTACATTTAGCCTTAGACTTCTGTGATGCATGTTATTTGCAAAGTTGTAACCTGCACTTCACTGGTCACCCTCTACGTTTACGGGGCTCCTATTTTCTGGCAGATAAAGGCAAGGGTTTTATTTTTAATCTGTCTATGAGTAGAGTGGAGACACGGCCGTTGGCACACTGCACCACGAACCTCACCCCTATCGTCTTTTCATGCGAAGCGGGGTATCTTAGTTTGCGCACGTGAAAGTCGGCATGCCTGTGCGCCCACCATACCCGTGTGTTCGTGTGCGACGTTGCACGCCTTGCGAAAGCGAAATCCCAGTGGACTCAGGTTGAAGATGACATCAAAGTGGTACGGGAAGATCTGGGTCCGACGGTGCATAATTTCCGTGAGATCAAACACCGCCGACACGTAGGAGTTGTCACTGTCCAACCAGAGTGGGGCACGGGCAAGAAAGGTCACGCGAGTTACAAGACGCCACTCAGTGGCTATTAGCGCACGTGACAGACGGCTGGAAATTTGGGGAGGGCCTCGGGACATATGTCTTGTACTTTATGCAAACATATGATTCGGTTGAAGAGAATCGCTATGGGAAATCGCAGGTTGCTATTACATTTGTAGGTAATTTAAGAACCTGGATCATGAGACTGGGGTGTGTGGAAGCCTGTGCAGTGAGTAGACACATCTTAATGGTTTAGTGTAAGGTCATGCATCACACTTTGCCAAGGTCATTCTGCATTATGCAATCACTATGATCATGGACTGGGCAGAGGCACAGGGAATAAAACTCACAATGAGCCATTTGCACCTAAGACGTCGAGCCGGTGATGGTGGTTAACTGGGAGTTATCCAGGACGTAGCCAGGCCTAGCTGGGCATGACAGCTAAAGCAGATTTGTGTGCTGCAGGTGTGAGAAGTGTCTTGATTGCACAAGTGCTTTTCAAATTGGCGCTTCCTTTCGTGCTCTCTTTTAATGCACGATGGCAACAGCCACGTGTCCATGAGCTGAATGCCAATGTCGAGGCCTGCGAGTCCCTGCCCCATGCTGCAGTGCTTCCAGCTCTGCACGGCCTCCGCGCGCCCCGCCAGGTCACCTGTCCGTCTGGCAGCTGCTGCGGTAGCTGAAGGCACACTTCATGATGCTGTCCAGCATCATGAGGCTGATGTCCTCAAACACGTCGAACAAGTTCTCCGTCTTGATCCTCTTCTCCCATTTGTCCTGTTTGATGCAAGTGAAAAACAAAGACAAAAGATCCCCATGTAGCCTTATAATGCATTTCTGTGAGTGAGAAGTGCTCAAATGGACCTCCTCGACTCAATATATTAGGTTACAAATGTTTTTTATGGTTTGCTTTTTTCACTTACTCTATTCTTTAGCCTCACAGCACGAGAGGGGCAACCTGGACTTTAAAGATGCCTTCCCCTCTGCACAGAAAACCTGGACTTCTGGATTCGGGCCTGTTTCATGAAACTGAAGCCGAGGCCTGTGTTAGTCTGTCCCACACTCCACGTGCTCAATGGCGGAAAGAGCCCCGTGCAAAAAAATCTAAGACCTCTTCTCCACTCACCTCCCCAATTAAGGAAAGACCCGAGACCCCTGATGGAGGAACTCGTGGGATGCTACAAGCTCTTCTCAAAAAAGTCAAGAAACTTTCCCAATATACCCGGAAGATTAGTCGACTTAAAGAGGAAAATACCAACCTATTCCGAGTCCTCAACAAAAAGTTAAGTTCTAGATTTGAAACTTTTGTGACTGCAAGGATCCATACTCTTTGGTTATATTCGGTAAAGTCACGTAGGTAAAAAATAAAACAACAAAAATCACGACGTTTCGGCCACAACACAAGCGGCCTTCATCAGGTGAAGGGACCAGACTGTCTCGAAGACTGCGCTGGAGTGAAACAGAGCCAAGCTCAGACCACGGCCTTTAAGCTGTGTGAGAGGGATTAAGGTGCCTTGACAAAGGAATTAGCATAAAAATTAGCATTTAATTGGCGGACTTAGCATGATGAAAGGTGTAGAGAGGGTGAACATGCGGGTGCACATGCACCCGCATGTGCTGCGAAAGTTTGGGGTACCACTACTTAAAAAAATTTAATTGGCGGACTTAGCATGATGAAAGGTGTAGAGAGGGTGAACATGCGGGTGCACATGCACCTGCATGTGCTGCGAAGGTTTGGGGTACCACTACTTGAAAAAATATACTGTACCATTGAAAATTAGTTTAATGTTTGGTTCGATTTAGAACATCTTTCCAATGGTTGCTTAATTTGAAACCATCTTCTCAGTTGAAATTGTGTCTGTGTTTGTAGATCTGAATTGCCTCGTGAACACATCTCTGATAAAAACCCGTGGGTTTGCAAAGAACCTTGGTATCGGAGAAAATTATATCGTGATCACCCACAGCGTTGTAACAGTGATCAGCTACGGCAGAAGAATTCGTTCTGCCGTGTTTCAAATCTGATTTGTGCTCGCGAATTCGGTCAGAGACATGTCGCTTCGTCTCCCCGATATAGCAATCACCGCAGGTACAACTCAATTTGTAAACCCCGGGGTACTGTAAGTCAGGAATGACATCCTTCACGGATGGGATCAGATCACGAATTTTGTGTACTGTATTGAACCGGACCTGGATCTTGTGTTTGTTTAGAATTTTGGAAATCTTTTTAGTAACGCCTGCTATATATGGTAGTGTGATGGTTTTGACCGGAGTATCAAGTGGTTGTTTTTGTATGGAGGGAGAAACAGCTTGACGGATGGTACGGTCAGAGTATCCATTCCTTTTGAGGGCCAGGTGTACATGTTTTAATTCACTTGTCAGGTGGTGTTGGTCCGAAATGCAATGAGCCCTATGGTATAAAGTTTTGATGAGAGAATTCTTTTGGGCTGGGTGGTGGTGGGAATCAGGTTTCAAGTAGGAATCTGTGTGGGTGGGTTTCCTGTAGACAGAATGCCCCAATGAGCCAACAGGTCTCCTCTCAAACAGAACATCTAAGAATGGTAGCTTGCCATCTTTCTCCACTTCCATGGTGAATTTGATGGCGGGATGTCTGGAATTGATGTGGTGTAGGAAAAGGTTCAGAGCTGGGAGGCCATGTGGCCTATTAAAAATGAAAATTTTTCAAGTATTGGTACCCCAAACTTTCGCAGCTTAAAATTCCCTTTTCACACCACCAGCATGTGGACGCTGCCGTGTCACCTCGCCAGCCTGCACAGGTCGACCCCCTCCCTACCTTTCATCATGCTAAGTCCGCCTATTAAAATGCAAATGTTTATGCTAATTCTTTTGTCAAGACACCTTAATCCCTCTCACACAGCTTAAAGGCTGTGGTCTGAGCTTGGCTCTGTTTCACTCCAGCGCAGTCTTCGAGACAGTCTGGTCCCTTCACCTGATGAAGGCCGCTTGTGTTGTGGCCAAAACGTCGTGATTTTTGTTGTTTTATTTTTTACCTACGTGACTTTACCGAATAGAACCAAAGAGTATGGATCCTTGCAGTCACGAAAGCTTCAAATCTAGAGAAAGATTTCCCTCCAGGTGTCACTTGTCCGGGTTGTGAGTTGGGCCTGGCTGGCCATGGTTCCAGAGGTTGCTGAACAGGCCGATCCAAGACCTGCAGATCTTGATGCAGTGGGGACAGGGACAGTTCATCCTGGAGCTCAGACGTGTTGCCTCTGTCTCCGGTGTATGTGTATGTACTTTGAAGTGTGCTCTTTTCCCGGCTATCAATGCTCTTTGCTCAGCCTCAAAGTGTTGAGTTCCATTGTTCATTTTGGTCCTCCATGATGGTCTATCAAGGCATAGATTTCCCAGTTGTTTGGGTCCATATGGATTTACTTGAGGTATGTTTTAAGTTTTTTCGGTAAAGTCACTTAGAAATAATAAAAAATAAAATCATATAATAGCATACGGTGTTTCGATTGCAACACAAGCAATCATCATCAGGTACAGAAGAGCTAAATTTAAGAGAGGAAACACGTAACCGCAGATATATATACGGACCCTAAGTAGAGGGAATTAACACAGACACACCAGGGGACACAGAGAGAGATGGAGGAGCACACTAAATCAAACAGGGTTTAGCAAAAATTGGGAAACTATATAAAGTAACACAGACGGTCGGTTAAAACACAATTAACGCATGGTCTGGTTGATTACGCTATTTCAAAGATTGCTAAATTGTAAGTTAAGTGTGAAATTTAAGAGAGCGATAGAACACAGACCGCAAAGAGACATATGAGGAGAGACACGCACACAGTGAAGGAGTAAAGCAGCATCTCTGTGCGGAAGCCTTAAATAGACAGAGACGGCGGGGCTGGGACTCAGAGACAATGGGACACAAATTAGCATGAAGAGAGCACATATCAAAGGACGGTGCGGGTAGCGGGCACGAGTTGTCACACACACACAGTAATTCCTGCAGTCACGAAAGCACCTAATCAAGTTCGTATGTAATGAAAATGCTTCTTTTGACCTCCAGGGGCACTGGATCCATCCCTGAGCTGGGAAGAAAAGATTTGCTTAGGAAGCCTTGAGTCATTCATCCTGACGAGGTGACCTGTCCATCTGAGATAGTGCTTCATATGATGGTGGCTTCTGTACTGGATGAGTTGGATCGCTCCAGGACGCTTATGTGGAGGATGTTTACAAATTTTGTTGGGCAGCCATATCTTAGAAGGATTCTCCATAGTGCTTCACGATTAACAGAGTCGAAAACTTTAGTCAGATTTAAAAAGGCCATGTACAGTAGTCATCAGCTCCTGGCACTTTTCTTGGATTTGACGGGCTGAGAAGATCATGTCTGAAGTTCCCCTGCCAGGTTAGAGGCCACTCTGGGATTCAGGAAGGAGTTTTTCATTAAGGGGTAGAGGTCTGTTTAGTAGAATTCTTGGAAGTATTTTTCCAGAGGTGGCAAGGAGAGAGATTCCTTTGTAGTTGCCACAGTCTGACTTGTCACTTTTATTGAAGATGGTGACAATGATGGCATCTTTCAGTTCGTTGAGAAGGTTTTCATCATTCCAGATCCTGGCCATGAGGGAGTGCAGGTGTTTGTAAATCACAGCAGGTATCTGGTCTGGCCCACTGGCTTTGTTCTGTTTCATCTGCTTGACAGCTTTGGCCACGTCAAGTATCGTTGGTTCTTCAGCCTCAGCGGTGGGTTGTTGCGGAATCTCACTGACTATAGAATGCCAGCTCAGCACTCTAATCTCTAAGCTACTCAGTGCCTTCAGTCATGGAGTAAGTAAAACATTAAAAGAACATTCTTGATTTGAAGCTTTCGTGACTGCAGGAATCCATACTGGTTCAGCAGTCTAACTGCTGGATTATGTTTTCCGCCTGAGGACGACCGCTTGAGTTTGGATCGAAAAGTCGTGATATTTTATTTTGTATTTTTCTACCTACGTGACTTTACCGAAAGAACCAAAGAGTATTAAAAGAACATGTTCACCAGAAGTTTGACCTATGAGTCTTCCACATTGTTGCAAGTTCATCTCAGTTGATTCCAATGACAAATCTGTATTTAAGAGGCTCACGGAGTGCCCTGTCCTCTGCTCCACCACCACCACCACCACCTGCTTGAAGGTTCCACGAGAGGGCGTGTCCCGGAGGCGGGGCCTAGCCACGCCTGGGGGGATAAAAGGGGGAACGGACTCCCAGCTCGGGGCTCCTGTGTGGGGTCCTGGGTCCTGGCGTGTCGCTGTTCACTGACATCTCTCTCCGTCATCCGGTCACATGGACAATCTCCTGCGTGGGTTCCATCGCCATCGTTGTCATGCCGCCAGCCAGCGGCGTAGACGAGTGAGGGTGAGAGGATCACGCCAAGTGATTGGCTGTGCGTGTAGCCAGTAGAGGTGTTATTGCCTAGAGTATATTCAGTGGGAGGAAGAACCAGTTTTGGCCTGTGTTGTGCCCAGTGTGAGTAATAAAGAAGTACCCTCTATATGACGTGTCGTGGAAGTCGCTCATTATACATGCTTGGGGGTGGGAATATTAAAATGACACATTTGGATTCAGCACCATCCATAGTGCAGTAGTGTAGTGGAGTAGGAAGGTGCATAGTGCAAACTGCGTGATTGCATGGAAAAAAAGTCATTACGGGTTATGTTGGGTCAGCCTGTAGCGAAGGCGAATACAGTATAGGTTACGTTAGGGCAATTAAGCTGGGAGAGCCAAGGACGGCTGTGATTGGTTGGTGCTGTTGCCAAGGCTGGAGGGGCGTCTTGAAGTCTGGCGAGGTGACAGGTGGACGGTCACGCGGAGAGCCGTTGGGACGCGGGTTAATTAATTGGGGGTGTAATGAGAGCGGGCATAAGAGCGGGAGTTGGAGTCAACAGCGGGAGTTGAAGTTGGAGAGCTTGGAGTCAACAGCGGGGAATTGAAGTGTGGAGAGCTTGGAAACAGAGAGTTGGAGAGACAGAGTTGGAGAGACAGTTGGAGACGGAGCTTGGAAACAGCGTAGCGATAGCGGAGCTAAAGAAGAGAAGCAGCCAGCAGTGGAGAGAGCGTAGCGATAGCGGAGCTAAAGAAGAGAAGCAGCCAGCAGTGGAGAGAGTGTAGCGATAGCGGAGCTGAAGAAGAGAAGCAGCCAGCAGTGGAGGGAGCGTAGCGATAGCGGAGCTGAACAGAGACGAAGCAGTTAGCAGTGGAGAGAGCATAGTGACGGTGATAGCGGTGAATAGAGACGAAGCAGTTAGCAGTGGAGAGAGCATAGTGACTGTGATAGCGGTGAATAGAGACGAAGCAGTTAGCAGTGGAGAGAGCATAGTGACTGTGATAGCGGTGAATAGAGACGAAGCAGTTAGCGGTGGAGAGAGCATAGTGACTGTGATAGCGGTGAATAGAGACGAAGCAGTTAGCGGTGGAGAGAGCATAGTGACTGTGATAGCGGTGAATAGAGACGAAGCAGTTAGCAGTGGAGAGAGCATAGTGACTGTGATAGCGGTGAATAGAGACGAAGCAGTTAGCGGTGGAGTAAGCACAGTAATCGTGGGCAGTGGAGAGACAAAGGTGGCGAGCGAGCCGTGGCGACATGGATACTGTGAAATTTGAGGACATGCTGAGAGTTGTAAATAAAGCGGTGTTCGAAGAGAGACAAAAGTTGTCCGAGTTAAATCGAACACTACAGTACTAAGAACCATAATCCTTGCCGTGGCTACTGCAGGGCAAGTGCCCACGGCGTGTGTGACAACTGCGTGAGCTTACGATGAGCACTTGGGTGCTCTCCACCATGAGAGACACGTAGGGCTTCAAAATCTCCATGTGGAAGCCGGGGCTGAGCATGCGGCGACTCCGGAACCACCTTGGACCAGATGAGGTGAGGAGACTCAATCCTGTCCACAAGTAACACAACGTTAGAAGGTCATTTTGATGATTACGGTGATGTGGCATGCAGTGTGTGTCGGTGTAAATGGGAGGTGTGCTGGCTGGGTCAGTGTGTGTGTGTCGGTGTAGATGGGGGTGTACTGGCTGGGTCAGTGTGTGTGTGTCGGTGTAGATGGGGGTGTACTGGCTGGGTCAGTGTGTGTGTGTAGGTGTAGATGGGGGTGTACTGGCTGGGTCAGTGTGTGTGTCGGTGTAAATGGGGGTGTACTGGCTGGGTCAGTGTGTGTGTCGGTGTAGATGGGGGTGTACTCGCTGGGTCAGTGTGTGTGTCGGTGTAGATGGGGGTGTACTGGCTGGGTCAGTGTGTGTGTGTAGGTGTAGATGGGGGTGTACTCGCTGGGTCAGTGTGTGTGTCGGTGTAGATGGAAGTGTACTCGCTGAGTGTGTGTTCATGTAGATATGACGTGTGCTGACTGGGTCTGGTTTACCAGCCTAGTTTAGTCAGTCTGGATGCTTGCGGTTAGTGTAAACAGCTCTTGACAATGATGTGCATGACGGGATATTGAATCCAGGTTATGGGAATCATAGCACAGTGCATTAACCACGATATCACTGCTCCCCACACAATATCTGTTCATGGAAAATCTTGATACAGTTCGTCATTTTTCAATAGTTCATGTATGATTTCAGGAAACCAATTTATCTTCTCTTTCATGTGCCTTAGTGAAGAGCAACTTAAATATCTATTACAGGAATTCCTTACCAACCACGGATTCGCAAACCGCGATTTCATGCACACACGGTTTATTATTTGTATACCAATTTACCAACCATGGCTTGTAAATTGAAGTATCCACGGCTAAGCAAGGTGTTAAGTGACTCACATGACGTTGGTAACACGCCATTGCGTGACTTCATTGTTACAAATTTTGCGGGGCTGGGGTTCTTCACGCTTCGCAGCACCACCCATGGCGCTGCGAAGCTGATCAACTGCATGTCGATTGTACTGTGATTCTCGCAGAGCAGAGACCGGCCTTCGCATGGCAACTACATTCAAGTTAATTGTGCCCTTGATCATGGATCCGAAGCGTGCATGCAGCGAGTCGCGAAAGTGAGAGTGTTGCGTCTGTGGCCCAGAGGAAGAGGGGGAAGGTGGGCTGAGCCCCTACTTCTAACCACCCCTTCCGCCACCACATCTCATTGTCATCGTCATCATCATCGTTAATATTAAAAATATGTACAGTGAATGTAATGTTTATTTACGGTTTAATACGTGCTTGTGAAATGTACAGTTTTTTTTTATTCGGTGTTTGGTTAATAAACAGACAACTTAATTGCATACCCGTCACCCTGTAAGGTTTACCCCGTATTCTTGTACAGGGAAATTGAGTTTTCAGGTGAAAAAAAAAGTGGCTATGTGTTTCTTCCTTGTGATGGGACTTTGTAGGATGAACATTGCTATTTTAAAGGGCACGGGGTGACCAAAAAGGTCTGAATTGGTCTGTAGTAAGGTATAGTCCTTGGGCCAGACCAGACATCGGTACCACCCAAGGTGGCAAAACTTCAATGGTGTCATTTTATTTGTTACACCAACAGAAGTAAAATAATACATGATAACCTTTCCAAATGAGCAGCTGTTAATATTTTCTTGCAGGAAACCTGTTTTTGCACCTATCGCAATCACGCCTTTGCTCAGACGTTACAAATAAAACATTCCAACACCTCTGCTGTTAATTAATATAATAAATAATTTGAAAACATTTATGTTTGTCCCCAAGGCATGTATTTCATACATATTCTTTCTTTTGTAGTTGAGTAGGAAGGTGCGTAGAGCAAACAGTGTGATTGCATGGAAACAAAGACAGTACGGCTTATGTTGGGTCAGCCTGTTGTGAAGGCAAAGTCATTACGGGTCATGTTGGGTCAGCCTGTAGCGAAGACAAATACAGTACAGGTTATGTTAGGTAGGGCAATTAAGCTGGGGGAGCCAAAGACGGCTGTGATTGGTTGGTGTTGTTGTCAAGGCTGGAGTGGCGTCTTGAAGTCTGGCGAGGTAACAGGTGCAGAGGGCACGCGGAGCGCCGTTGGGACGCGGGTTGATTAATTGGGGTGTGATGAGCGTGGATAAATTGGGGAGTCGGCAATTGGAGAGGGAGTTGGGAGCTGGAGGAGGCAAGACGTGGAGTTTGGAGACAGAGTTTGGGGACAGAGTTTGGAGACAGTTGGAGACGGAATTTGGAAACAGTGTGGAGTGGAGCTGAAGAAGAGAAGCAGCTAGCAGTAGAGAGAGCATAGTGACGGTGATAGCGGAGAGCAGAGACGAAGCAGTTAGCAGTGGAGAGAGCATAGCGACGGTGATAGCGAAGAGCAGAGACGAAGAAGTTAGCGGCGGAGTAAGCGCAGTGATAGTGGGGAGTGGAGAGACAAAGGTGGCGAGCGAGTTGAGTGAAGCACGGCGAGCGAGCCCTGGCGACCAGGATACTGTGAAATATTGAAGACATGTGGAGAGTTGTAAATAAAGCGGTGTTCGAAGAAAGACAAAAGTTGTCCGAGTGAAATCGAACACTACATTTGGTGTCAGAGTGACTTCGAAACCACGCCAACATGTGGAAGACATCGGCCAAGAGAAGGGGCAAGTGGGCGCCGCTCCCCCGGCGGGCGGAACGAGCGTTGCCGACGGGACTAAGCCAGCCCGCGGCCGTTCCCGCACCGCCGGGAAACGCCGACGACGGAGCCGCGCCTCCCGCGGCGCTGCAGGCGGGGCAGCAGGATGCACATCACGCCGCTGCTTCGCCGCCATCGAGAGGGAGAGCGCCGGAGCTGGCGGAGAAAGAATGCCGCCGCCGCTAATGCGGGTGCCGGGCGGGAAAATTGTGCGCATCGTGCGCGCGCGACCGCCATCGTGGCGGCCGCTCGGGACGCGGTTCCCGACGAAACGCCGTTCCCGCCATTCTCAACACCTGTGGAGGAAGATGTTCAGCCGTCTTGGTGGCATCCTGTCGCAAGAGGATGCCTGGCTCTCACCACCCAATCTTCGAGTTCCTCAAAGCCTCTCAGGCGAGTCGTGACACAACGCACCTGGCCCTAAACACACCTCACCCATCTTGCTTGCTCCGGGTTGTTGTTGTTGCGTGTGGGGTTTTGTTGACCGCTGGGCTGCTGAACGGGGTTTCTGGCTGTGTGAATGTAGGATGATTGCAATATCTGTGCTCGTGTGTGTGGTTACGGCATCGGGAGTGTTATCTGATGGGGCTGTTAATGATTAATTCGTGTGTGTCGAGTGTCCCGAGGCCCTTTAAACATCCTGTGGGTAGCCGTGTTAATGATTCGCGATTGTTATTGTATATGCAGTATGGAGCCTCGCTTGTGATTGGTTACGTGTGACTGTGAGAAACTTTGATCGTTATTGTTGCCAAGGTATAGACTGTATCGGACTGTACATGCTGCGTGTACTGTATTACCTCATTCGGCGATTCGTAGGATTGTGTATAGTTGTTTTGCTCTCAACTCGGTTGGTACAGCTGTGTGCTGCAATGCGAGTATCTGACATAATGGGTACTGATGCGGGATGTGAAGTGTATTGTGGTGACCGTTGGGTATTTGGGATCGTCGCAAATTGTGCGTGCTTGTTCGACATTGGAGATGGCGACATGCTGCCATTGATTTGGTATTGTGCTGGCTGTCAAATCTCTCGGGGCGCAGATCCTGACCAGGCTAGCCCAGTAAGTGTTGAGTGTCTTAACATGGGAGTGTGGTCCTGTCGTGCTATAAATGGTGGTTTGACCTGACGGCCCGGAGCTATAGGCTCGCCCTGGCTGCCCGGATTTCGAGACACTCCGAGGTGCGTTGAAACAGTGGGCTGGAGATGTATCCCTGTTGACTAAGCTATAGAAGAAACGGTGAACAAAGACACCCAGACAGCTCGAGGGACAAAGGGATTCAACTTGAAGCCAGGAACCGTGACTAAACATTGCCTAACAGCTAAGTGCAGAAGCATGTACCTCAGACAGCTGAGAGACCTGATAAGTCAAGGCAGGTCCAAACTGTCCCATCCAGATCTACAGGGTCCAAGGATCAAGAGAGATGAAGCAGATGTCCAGTCTCTCATTGACCTTATGGAGAATAACTGGATCAATCCTATGTCCCCCGATGAGACATCTGGTTAGCCTCTCCACTGGCACCATGGCTTCACCTGATGTGACCATGGATCTATTGCGAGCTCTTGAGACAGGAGAAGAGGCCTACCAGGTATTCAAGCAAACAAGGTTAGCTGAGAACCCACCATCTGTGAAATTCCACGACAAGATGACCAAGCAAAGTCTGAATACATTCTCCAATATCAGCACAAAAACAGCACATGGAAAGAAAGCACATGATGTGGTTTTGAAGGCAGATAGAAACCTGTTCAGCCAATTGATCCTGGTGGCTGAAAGCAGGAAAGTGAATATGAAGGATGTCCTTGCCTACCCACTGGGCCCGCTGCCATGGGCACTGGCAAATGCTGATGGGTTCCTACGAAAAATAAACAAGGCTGCACTTGCCAGAGAGCTTGAAAAGAATGGTGTCTCCTGCAGAAGACATCCCAACCCCATCTACTTCCATCATTGATCGGATGAGCCTGGTCCAAAAAATGAATGTCAACAACAAAACATTTTCACAGGTCAGCCTTGACCCAGGTACTCCACGAGGGGGCACAGAGTGAGAGGATTGATGTGTTTTTTATGTCTACCGACAAACTTCGATCAAAGATGCTGAACGACCTGAACCGGGGTGCAGACACCACTCTCCAGTACAAGAACCTTGCAGGGGGACACCACGTCCAGCAGTGGAGAAAGTTATTGTGCAGTCCCTCCAACAAGACCAGTCTCATCAAGTTTCTGGTGGAAGAGTGGAAACTCCCACGATACAGAGAGATGCTGCATGGCAAGGTGTTGTACATGACCTGTGAGGAAACCTGCTACAGGTTGACAGAAGATGAGTGTGCGGAAGTAGCAAAGCTGCACTCAACGCATGAAGAAGCTGACACCCATCTGCTCCTGCATGCATTGCATGCAGAAAATGTGGGCTCAAAGGCAGTTATCATCACAGCTGAGGACACTGATGTCATGGTGCTTTGTCTTCGCTCCCAGAAGGACATCACTTGTCCCATCTACCAGAATTGTGGGGCACAGAACCGCACACGGTTGGTCGATATCAGCAAACTGGCCAGGTCACTTGGAGACAGCATTTGTGACAACCTAATTGGCTTACACGCCTTCAAAGGCTGTGAAACTGTCAGTGCATTCGCCGGTCGAGGGAAGCTGAATGCCCTGAAGATGGTGAGAAAGGACACTTCCTGCCAAGAGACTTTTAGCCGACTGGGGCAGTCATGGAATGTGAGTGATGAGCTGTTCCAGAAAATTGAGCAGTTCATCTGTCGCATGTATGTTGCTAATAGCAGCACTGGCGAGGTGAACGAACTGCGCTACCAGCTCTTCTGCACCAAAAGGGAAGTGGAGTCCAGCCAGCTGCCACCATGTAGAGACTGTCTCTTCATGCATGTTCAACGAGCCAACTATCAGGCAGCAATCTGGAAGTGCTGTCTGCAGGCTAACCCTGTGGTGCCAAGCCCTACTAAGTATGGATGGACAGACGATGATGGCAAGCTGGTCATTTACTGGATGCGCTCCTCATCCGCACCAGATGTGGTCTTGGGACTGCTAGCATGCAAGTGTGTATTCATGCAAAATGCCAAGCCGCACGTGCCTGTCAAATGGACTGACATGTGCATGTTACAGACCTGTAGTAACCAAAAACTTCAGGATGATCCAGAACCTGACTTTGAACTCGGGGAGTCAGATGACGAGACAGACGAGCAGTTTGAGTGACACAGGGTGGTGATTCTGATGGTATTACTGTGGTAGTCATAGTATACATCGATGAAGTGTGGTGGTTCTGAACTTGGCTACCCTTGTTAACACCATCTAAGTACACACAGAGCTTGATAACAATAATGTAACCTTCTTCACATATACCCATCACTAACGATATATATGAGTATCACATAATGAGACCTTTGCCAGTACCAAAATATAATAATAGGGTTTTTCCCCTTTCTTTTTTTCTGGCAACATAATGCAAGTATTGTGGTGAATGCAGACATGATTCCTCGTAAAAGGGTTTCAGTTTTGTTGCCAGAAAAAAGGGGGAAACCCCTATTACTATGATATATATAAGATTACATGTATCATTGACTAAGTATATGCAAATGTCAATGTTTATAATATTCAAGTAGTTCCTTACCTCACTATGGTATTCCTTATTGTCCTGTGTTTTCATTGTGTATTTAAACCAATAAAGACCAGTTTGTGACCTAACTGGCTTTGGTCTAGGTAGTTTTTCAGTAATAATGCTCATATCATCGTTCCGGATGCCTGTCATAGGGTATGGGTATAAAAGTCATGGTAACTACAAATAAGCTGCCACTGCAAAGGGTATATCAGAATATGTCCCACACACATGAAGGATTACAAAAATCATTACGAGACTTTGCCACCTGAGGTGGTACGAATAAGTGATTTTTTTTGGTCTGGGCCCATGGACTAGTACGCACTGATAAGGGGTATGTAGTTAAGCTCTGACAAGTCTGACTGTAGCTGTGGTTCCCCTAACCCCCTATTTCCCATAGGCCCTGTACTTTACCAACCGCGGATTTGCCTACCGTGGCATTTTCCAGCAACCTGGCGAGGGATTGCTGTATATCAAAGTTTGAAAGCCACATGACGGCTTCAGGTGAGGCTAAATGCATTTCTGATGCTGGTCTGCTGTCTCCAGTAAATTTGTCGAGTGGTCTCTGGTGTGTATTGCAGGATTTGTAAACTCACCGATCCATGGAATGATGAATACATATCCGAGGTCTGTTTTCGGTTCTGAAAACACAAATGAGGTGTGTACAACAAGCAGGAATTTCCACGGTAACAAAATAACTTGAACCACCCTATGGACTTGCTGCTCACATTTCCATACCTTTCGCAGAAGATGAAGTCGTGTCCTTTGTTTACCAGGCTCCAAAATGTATAACACTGCGTAAAGTGCATGTTTCCCTCACTTTATGCACTTGATGTATTCCAAAAAAAAGGGCGTACAAAGCAAAACGGCTGCCTGCCGAGTAGCGTGTACAGTACACACAGTACCCACAATTTTGTACCACTTTAGACCGTATAGCCGCATCTGAGTGAATAAAAACTGCATCGAGCGATTTTTCACACACCCGCTCACATGCTCGCACGCCGGTGAGCATGTGTACGAATATTTCGGCTGCATGAGCTGTCTGGTATTGGGTCGAGTGGGGCTGGCTGTGTTCAGTATTGAAATACGCTTTGATCAGGATCGGAATTACTTCGCAGTTGGTGGCAAATCCATGTTCTTATGGCGTGGGCATGTCAGTTGGACAGAACAAGCACGGCTGACGTCCGACAAAGTGGTATTTAATTTATCAACCCCGGAGCGACAAAGGGTTGAGTTGAACCACCTAACGTGGTCTATAGTTGTGCATGCCACCCCATCAAGCTCGGCGTGATGGGGTCTGCATGGTGAGCACCGCTTGTCGGGACGTCCACAGTGGTCAATTCATCATCTTAATGTTAGTTTCAATATGAGGCAGGACCCCCACCAGAGCAACGTAGAATGTACACCCCTTGCTCAGGATTAGAGTGGAAATCCACACCACCCAATGCTCTTTTCATGTAAATGTCATATTACAGTGGTAATGAAACATAAAGTACACAATTACAAACTAAACTATGTTTTATTTTACCAGGTAAGGCCCACTAAGCTATGTAGCTCATTTTCACGTGACCTGGCAAAAAATATAGCTCAACGAAGTGTCGCATCCCAAGGCCCAAGACAAGAAGCAAAATACCGATGGTTTTTCACTGAATCAGATCCATGGACGAATGTGCTTACATCGCGGGTTACGCAATTTATGACTGCGAGGCCTTGTGTATCTGGCATATTGTCCACCTAGATCCGACACTGTGTTCATACACACGTGGACTGTCAAGTCCTTCACAAGGGATGCCGTTTCCTAGGAAGTGGACGTCACAAGCCATGTCACATTACTCACGAGTTGGTCAATGTGGGCTCGTGTTGTAGCTATACATCCCAAATTGTACAATTACCCAAAAGATAATTGTAAAATATACATAGTCTATCAAACATCATGTAAAATATTTATTTATATTACTAAGCTCTCCAATTACTACACTAAGACCGTGTCCCTGTCGTGTCTGTGTATCGGTGTCTAGTTCACTGGCCCTGCGTCTTCCTGCAGGGAACGTATGCCCTGCCACGAATTTTAATTCTGGCACAAAGGGTCTCAGTCTCTGGTTTAGGCCAATCAATGCGAACATTGTAATCAAAGGATAGTTGCATTTCTTACCACAAGCATGATGTCTGGTTAATGCTGATTTGCATCCTTGCAATAAATGTCTGTTTTTTTTTTCTCCAGCATTTTGATATTGGTAAAAAGGTCCCATAGATACGAATACGCTCTAGTTTGTGTGTGCAAAAGAGATTTGAGAGTAGCAGGAGTGTTTCTGGCCGATCGTGTTCTGTCAGTGCTAGTGCAGTCACGCTGCTCCCTGTCCCTCGCGAGCCGTTTTACCTGCAGTGCTGATGATGGCTTTGGCATAGTCCGGGTGACTGATTTGCAATGTTGCTATGAACGGACCAAGCCACATGGGAAACACGTAGCGATACTCGCGGAACAGCTTCAAAAGATTCCGCAGCCACTGCTCGTCATCTGGAAGCTGCACACAAACACATACAAAACAAATACAAACACCCCCTGTATAGCCTTGAATTCACTTCGCAGGGGTTCTCAGCCACAGGTGCTGCTCGCGTATTGAGTGCTCTATGCGTCAGCAGGTTCCCATAGAGCTGTGTGTAGTACAGCCTCCGTGTGCCGTTGTATAGCCTTGGGGCGAATGTACCGCGCACACGAGGCCACGCAACGAGAGAGCACACAGGCAGCGCCGAGCCACCAGCAGCTACCACCGAACGAGATTGCCTGTGTCACGGCTGATTATATCCAGAGGACGGGTCCAAGTATCGCTCGCTATTGGTGTTGGCTGTGGCCAGGAGCCAACGTCAATCGGCCTCACGTGGCCGGACAGGGCGGCTGCCCCTTAAGCTCACACGCGCGGCACTGTGAACACGCGTCTGGTGGACGTGCGGTACACGGAAAGTGCACACACTACATACACTATACACACACTACATACACAATATACACACTACATACAGTACACACACACTACATACACAGTACACACACTACATACACAGTACAAACTACATACACACTACATATGTTGTGCAGTATGACCACGCGGAGACGAAATTTACTGTAAGGGCTGATGCCGTTTATTAACACTGGTGCACACAACACTCTAACTCACACCAGAGGTAGGTGCTCTCTATTCTTGGTCCTTGCCCTGGACCCTGAACACTATATTGTCCTGCTCTCGGCTATCTCCTGGGGCTCTTTCACTTGTCTGGCCAGGGCGGGGGTTCATCCAACACCGCCCGGCGATGAGGAGGGAGAGACCTCTTCCAGACGATCCTTGCCCTGGCTCCCGACAACGACCCCGCCTTCGTCATGGGGTACCCCTTTGGCGGCTCTTCCCCCTCGCTCGGACCCGCCTTTGTTCCTGAAGGTACCCCCTTACTGCACCCGTGACATGACGTCATCATCGGCTGTCAACTCGCTCGCACCTCCCTCTGTTCGCCCCCTCATGGTTGCTCACACTTCTCCTCTACACATACACAGTACATACAAACTACATACAGTACACACTACATACACAGTACATACACTATACATAGTAAACACAAACTACATACACAGTACACACACACACTACATAAAACATACATAGTAGACACACACGACATACATAGTAGACACACTACATACACACGACATACATAGTAGACACACACTACATACATAATACACACTATATACAATACACACACACTACAAACAATACATATGTAATGAGAAAGCACACCGATGCGCGACGGAGGTCTGCAAAGGCACTGCTAGATCGGTCACAGCCAATCAAGGCTAAGGGTTCCATCTGGGCCAAAGTTCAAGGGCGGAGCTCATGGGTATATGCAGGAACCATTGGGAAGGTTCTGAGGGGGGCGTGGCTAGAGGCGGAGCTTTTCTCCGCCGAGAGGGATATAAGGAGAGGCAAGGGGAGGACTCGGGATCGGTGTGGAAGCCTGGAGTCCGGACTGCATCTCCGCCATCTCATCACGCCACCGACCATTTTGCAGTCTCGAGGGCCGAAGCTCTCCCGATTTGCCGGTGCGCCGTCGACCAGCGGTGCGCGGGAGAGAGAGCGAGGGAAGTCGCGCGGGGACGGAGGACCAGTGAGCGCGTGCATGCGGCGAGAGAGAGGGTGACCATCCACAAGGGAGTGCGGAGCTGAGCAGCCATCATTAAATAAATAAAGAACGCAAGTCTCAACCCGTCGTGGAAGTCGTTTATTACACATACACAGTATACACACACTACTGGTCCAGACCGGGATAGCGGTACCGTGTCTAGTTCTGCCATAGCGTGGTTAGATGGGTGTTCAACACCAGATTGTACATTACGTTGTGTTGAGTTGACGTAATAAATAGTGTTGCTCCCAAGACAACGTCTGCGACTCAGTTGGACTCGCTACAACTGGTGTCGGAAGTGGCCAACTTGCTGAGCTGTAGCTAGCGTTAGACAAGTCATGTCTACACCTCCCAGAGTTCGTGTACGGGTGTCGGACGACGAAGATGACGAGGAGCTGATTCCGCCCACGGCGTCGAAGAAGGAGCGGAGGCGCTGCCAGCCGAGCAGAGCGCAGTCGGGGCACGCGGCGCCTCGCCTTCGTTGGAGGCGGTCGTCAGGGACGCGCACAGTCGTCTTGCTGACCTCCTTCAAGCAGTGTCTTCGATCCTCGCGGAGATGTGTTCCCTGTCCTCGACGGCGAAGGAGGGAGCGTCGGAGTTGTCTGGAGGGGGCGACTCGACCGCAATTTCACTGAAGGCAGGAACGCCATCGCTGCCTGCGCTCGCGGCTGCCATTTTGCCACCGGTGCGGAGCGCTGAGCTCACCAAGTTGAAGCGGGGACGTCCTTGTCAATTGACGTCCAGTCGCTCCGCCATCGACTGCCCTTCATTAAAGATCTTGATTCGAAGCTTTCGTGCCTGCAGGAATCCATACTCTTTGGTTCTTTCGGTAAAGTCACGTAGGTATAAGAATGTTGCCGCCAGCGGCGACTGGGTGGCAACTAAGCGGCGGTTTCTCACCAATGCCGACCTGATGGGATGGATAGTGGCAGATGCGCCCTCGACGACGACGCCTTGGCGTCGTTCCTCGCCATCCTGCCATCCGAAATTCCACCCTCACGCAGGCATTTGATCAGATGGCCGCTGTTTTCGACCCTCCGCTGAACACGCGCCAGAAGTTCGCCGTAAGACAAAGGGGATGGTGAGTCGGCTCTCGCCTACCAAAGTGCGGTCTTGGTGCTGGCGAAGGCCGCGTTCCCAAAAATGGACCACGACGGCCTTGACGCCTTAGTCCTCGAGAAGATGTTGGGAGTCGCGAAGGACCTCCATACTGTGCTCCCCGCCGAGGACGGTGAGGTGTCTTCACTCAAGATCGCCAGGTGTATAAAGGCGCAGCAGACCCTGCAGCGTGACAGGGTGTTGGTGGCGTACGCTACGTCTTCCACGGAGCCAGGAGTCCACACAGATGAGCCTGCTCCTGCATGCACCAGCGGAGCGGCGATTGTCGGGGTGACGGCGATCGGCGGCGGAATGACCGGCGGCAGGCGAGGTCTGCATCATCCCAATCCAGCAGTGGACGGGTTGTCTGCTACAACTGTGGCCTGCCGGGGCACGTCCAATCGGGCTGCCGGGTTCCTCAACGGCGGCCCCCGGGATGTCCACCTTCCTACGACTCCCTGCTTCCTAGGGCAAGTCGTGGCGCACCCCACACTCGGCCCTTGGGGTTCACTTCACCCATCGGGGGGGGGGGTCTGATTAGCGTCGGGGTCGCGCGCGGGTTTGGGGGGAGTGTTGTATATATACGCCTTTTTCCAAAATTGATATTAAGAATAATTCTGCCATTATTTTTTTTATAATCAATCGCGGTGTCGCTTGGGGCAAAAGGGGTTGATGCGAAACCCTTCCCTCATCGCAGATGCCTTTCACACTCAGGACCAAGCAAGGAAGTAGCCATAAAGATAATAATTAAATATAAACACCTTGCCACAAAGGAAAGAGATGGAGGGGGATTGCTAATGAGATCCTGGGGAAATCTCTACACGGCTTCAAAGACCGCCACAAAGCACATACAAACAACAGGCGTCGCCAGCTTCCCGGGCGGCGAAAACCGAACAGAAGGTTTTTTTGTTTATTTTAGTTAGCGGAAAAGTCCAAAAACTTAGCGACACGAATAAGTGGATATTATAGACTGCCAACACACTCACTCCGATTAAAAACCAGGCTACAATCTACATCAGTGGGTTATTACTTCTCATATTATTTTAATACTAAGCTTATTCACCTTAATTTTTATTATTCTATCTACGCGACTTTACCGAAAGAACCAAAGAATTAAATCTTGGATAAACATAAACCAAATAATAATTATGAAGTATTAGACCGAGGGTCATCCAGAAGAATAAAAAAGGCAAAATAGGTCAATCCCATAGAGAGAGAGAGAGAGAGCCTCCCAAACACCTTTGTCTCCCAGCAGCACGTGATAGCAAGAAATTGCAAATGCATGCAGAGGGCATCTCCCCTTAAAAAAACATCAAACACCATAAAGGAATTCCAAACCACGAAGGAAGTACTGTAAACACTGCTACAAACATACCTTGAGTAACTTACAGAATCAGAACTCCAAAGTGGTACGGTATCAAGCTATGAGGTAAAATACATTTTTTTTAAACTTCTAAATGGTACAACAGAACACGACTTCAAAAGCCACAACACCCCTCTTTGTGAGAGGCAAAAGAATGTCACACCCACCGGGAAGGAAAGAGGTGGGGAAATGCCACTGACAGGGAGAACCCCTCCACCAGAGAGTTTATTGCAAAATTATAAATCGGAGTGTAGCAATTTGGGGCATCTGTTTTCCACGGATGAAAAGGTGGCTTGAGGAGGGGAAGAGGAACCAGGCCAGGGTGAGACTTAACAGATTGCTAAATAAATCAGGACATACACACACACGTACCCCGGATGAACGACTGCCCCCACCGCAAAGAGCGAAATCAAAGGGATTCTGGTTCTTTGTGAGAAGGCGAGCCGAGGGGAGAGAATTTCACATACAGAGACACGACACACACTATTCAGTGCTGCAATCGGCAGCCTCCGGGAACCTGCCCCCGTGACTGGCACATCGTCAATGAGCTGCATCAGCAGAAGCCACGACTACGACCAGCGACAGAAGACTACTGCCAGCGATAGAAGAGTACTGCGACGGGCAGACTCCGGGGCATAATTATTTCCATTCTACGTGACTTTACCGAACGAACCAAGAAGAGGAATCCCTGCAGTCACGAAAGCTTTAAATCGAAATTTAACCGCCTCTTTGGAGAGGGATTCCACATAACCTTGATATCCTTCAACAAACTCCGGGATAAGAAGGCTCAGCTAATCGAGTCTCTCACCTTTCTAAAGAGATGCTGCGACTCTAAGGTAATACCAACCGCATTTACACTAACCTCTGCTGCTGTAACTTCTTCTAATACAA